TTATGGGGACCCTATGGGGGCCTATGGGAGCCCTATAGGGGACCTATGGGGACCTATGGGGCCCTATGGGGCTCTATGGGGACCCTATGGGGCCCTATGGGGGACCTATGGGGGACCTATGGGGACCTATGGGGCCCTATGGGGGCCCTATGGGGACCCTATGGGGACCCTATGGGGGCCTATGGGGACCTATGGGGCTCTATGGAGGACCTATGGGGGCCTATGGGGGACCTATGGGGGCCTATGGGGACCTATGGGGGACCTATGGGGCTCTATGGGGACCCTATGGGGGCCTATGGGGGACCTATGGGGGCATATGGGGCTCTATGGGGCCCAATGGCTCCATATCCCATTGGCTCCACCATATCCCAATGGATCCTCTTCCCAATGGATCCCCCATATCCCAATGGATCCCCTTCCCATTGGCTGCCCCATATCCCAATGGATCCTCTTCCCAATGGATCCATATCCCAATGGATCCTCTTCCCATTGGCTCCCCCATATCCCAATGGATCCTCTTCCCATTGGCTCCCCCATATCCCAATGGATCCTCTTCCCAATAGATCCCCCATATCCCAATGGATCCCCTTCCCGTTGGCTCCCCATATCCCAATGGATCCTCTTCCCAATAGATCCCCCATATCCCAATGGATCCTTTTCCCATTGGCTCCCCCATATCCCAATGGATCCCCCATATCCCATTGGCTCCATATCCCAATGGATCCCCTTCCCAATGGATCCATATCCCAATGGATCCTTTTCCCATTGGCTCTACCATATCCCAATGGATCCATATCCCATTGGCTCCATATCCCATTGGCTCCCCCATATCCCAATGGATCCTCTTCCCAATGGATCCCCCATATCCCATTGGCTCCATATCCCATTGGCTCCCCCATATCCCAATGGATCCCCTTCCCATTGGCTGCCCCATATCCCAATGGATCCTCTTCCCATTGGCTCCCCCATATCCCAATGGATCCTCTTCCCAATGGATCCCCCATATCCCATTGGCTCCATATCCCATTGGCTCCCCCATATCCCAATGGATCCTCTTCCCATTGGCTCCACCATATCCCAATGGATCCTCTTCCCAATGGATCCTCTTCCCATTGGCTCCCCCATATCCCATTGGCTCCATATCCCAATGGATCCCCTTCCCAATGGATCCATATCCCATTGGCTCCATATCCCATTGGCTCCATATCCCATTGGCTCCACCATATCCCAATGGATCCTCTTCCCAATGGATCCCCCATATCCCATTGGCTCCATATCCCAATGAATCCTCTTCCCATTGGCTCTACCATATCCCATTGGCTCCACCATATCCCAATGGATCCTCTTCCCAATGGATCCCCCATATCCCATTGGCTCCATATCCCAATGAATCCTCTTCCCATTGGCTCCACCATATCCCAATGGCTCCACCATATCCCAATGGATCCTCTTCCCAATGGATCCCCCATATCCCATTGGCTCCATATCCCAATGAATCCTCTTCCCATTGGCTCCACCATATCCCATTGGCTCCATATCCCATCGACTCCCCCATATCCCAATGGATCCTCTTCCCATTGGCTCCCCACATCCCATCGACTCCCCCACATCCCATCGACTCCCCCACATCCCACCAACTCCTCTTCCCATTGGCTCCCCCATACCCCCCCCCCCACCCCATATTCCCCCTCCTCTGCCCCACAGGTCCCTTCCCATTGGATTTCTCCATCATGGCGCTGCTGCGGCCCCATAGCGGGCCCCACACCTTCCTCCTCTCCCTCTACGACGGCGCCGGGCGGCGACAACTGGGGCTGCACTTGGGGGGCGCCCCACTTTTGGTGTACGAGGAAAAAGGGGGCTGGGGGGGAAGGGACGACCCCCCCCAAATTTTACCCCTTCTCCAGCCCCACGGAGACCCCGTTTTCCGCCGCTTCCGACTCGCCGACGGCAAGTGGGTGTCAGCGGCCAATGGGAACGAGGCTTTCCGAAGGGGGGCGGACCAATGGGGAGGGGGGTTGTTGAGTGGGGGTCAATGGGGAGGTCTCCATTCTATGGGTCCCAATGGGGTTGTCTTCATCCTATGGGTCTCAATGGGGTTGTCTCCATCCTATGGGTCTCAATGGGGAGGTCTCCATCCTATGGGTCCCAATGGGGATGTCTCCATCCTATGGGTCTCAATGGGGTTGTCTCCATTCTATGGGTCCCAATGGGGTTGTCTTCATCCTATGGGTCTCAATGGGGTTGTCTCCATTCTATGGGTCTCAATGGGGTTGTCTCCATCCTATGGGTCCCAATGGGGTTGTCTCCATTCTATGGGTCTCAATGGGGAGGTCTCCATCCTATGGGTCCCAATGGGGATGTCTCCATCCTATGGGTCTCAATGGGGATGTCTCCATCCTATGGGTCTCAATGGGGTTGTCTCCATCCTATGGGTCTCAATGGGGATATCTCCATCCTATGGGTCTCAATGGGGTTGTCTCCATCCTATGGGTCTCAATGGGGAGGTCTCCATCCTATGGGTCCCAATGGGGTTGTCTCCATTCTATGGGTCTCAATGGGGTTGTCTCCATCCTATGGGTCCCAATGGGGTTGTCTCCATTCTATGGGTCTCAATGGGGAGGTCTCCATCCTATGGGTCTCAATGGGGTTGTCTCCATCCTATGGGTCTCAATGGGGATATCTCCATCCTATGGGTCTCAATGGGGTTGTCTCCATCCTATGGGTCTCAATGGGAGGTCTCCATCCTATGGGTCTCAATGGGGAGGTCTCCATCCTATGGGTCCCAATGGGGTTGTCTCCATCCTATGGGTCCCAATGGGGTTGTGTCCGTTCTATGGGTCCCAATGGGGAGGTCTCCATCCTATGGGTCCCAATGGGGAGGTCTCCATCCTATGGGTCCCAATGGGGATGTCCGCATTCTATGGGTCCCAATGGGGATGTCTCCATCCTATGGGTCTCAATGGGGATGTCCCCGTTCTATGGGTCCCAATGGGGATGTCCCTGTTCTATGGGTCCCAATGGGGATGTCTCCATCCTATGGGTCTCAATGGGGATGTCCCCGTTCTATGGGTCCCAATGGGGATGTCTCCATCCTATGGGTCCCAATGGGGATGTCTCCATTCTATGGGTCTCAATGGGGATGTCTCCAGTCTATGGGACCAATGGGGATGTCTCCATCCTATGGGTCTCAATGGGGTTGTCTCCATCCTATGGGTCTCAATGGGGTTGTCTCCATTCTATGGGTCCCAATGGGGATGTCTCCATTCTATGGGTCTCAATGGGGATGTCTCCATCCTATGGGTCCCAATGGGGATATCTCCATCCTATGGGTCCCAATGGGGATGTCTCCATCCTATGGGTCCCAATGGGGAGGTCTCCATCCTATGGGTCCCAATGGGGAGGTCTCCATCCTATGGGTCTCAATGGGGAGGTCTCCATCCTATGGGTCTCAATGGGATGTCTCCATCCTATGGGTCCCAATGGGGATATCTCCATCCTATGGGTCCCAATGGGGATGTCTCCATCCTATGGGTCCCAATGGGGAGGTCTCCATCCTATGGGTCCCAATGGGGAGGTCTCCATCCTATGGGTCTCAATGGGGAGGTCTCCATCCTATGGGTCCCAATGGGGTTGTCTCCATCCTATGGGTCCCAATGGGGTTGTGTCCGTTCTATGGGTCCCAATGGGGAGGTCTCCATCCTATGGGTCCCAATGGGGATGTCTCCATCCTATGGGTCCCAATGGGGTTGTCTCCATCCTATGGGTCCCAATGGGGTTGTGTCCGTTCTATGGGTCCCAATGGGGAGGTCTCCATCCTATGGGTCTCAATGGGGCTGCCCCCCCGCCCCATGTGTCCCCATAGATGGCATCACGTGGCCTGGAGCATCCGGGGCCGCTCGGTCACCCTGGTTGTGGATTGCGTCCATCGGGACACGCGGATCCTGCCCCATAGCGTCGGCGCCTCCATTGACTCCCATGGGGTCACCGTGTTCGGGACCCACAGCCCGGGGGAGGAGGGCTTCCAGGTGGGGAGAACCCGGATTCCAAACAGTTCGCCCCATATTTCACCCCATTTCACCCCATTTCGCCCCATTTCACCCCATTTCACCCTATTTCACCCCATATTTCACCTTTTTCACCCCATCTTTCCCCCCATATTTCCCCTGTTTCACCCCATTTCTCCCCGTTTCTCCCCATAGGGGGACATCCAACAACTGCTCATCTCCGATGACCCCCAAGCGGCCTTCGACTACTGCGAGCTCTATGGGCCCCACTGCGACCCACAGGGCCAGGAACGAGGGCGGCAGCGCCGGGAGGTGGGAATGGAATGGGATTGGGATGGGATTGGGTTGGGTTGGGTTGGGTTGGGTTGGGTTGAGTTGGGTTGAGTTGGGTTGGGTTGGGTTGGGTTGGGGTCGGGTTGGGATGGGTTGGGGTTGGGTTGGGTTGGGATGGGTTGGGTTGGGTTGGGTTGGGATGGGTTGGGATGGGTTGGGTTGGGTTGGGATGGGTTGGGTTGGGTTGGGTTGGGTTGAGTTGGGTTGGGTTGGGATGGGTTGGGTTGGGTTGGGTTGGGTTGGGATGGGTTGGGTTGGGTTGGGATGGGTTGGGTTGGGGTTGGGATGGGTTGAGTTGGGTTGGGTTGGGTTGGGTTGGGATGGGTTGGGTTGGGTTGGGTTGGGATGGGTTGGGTTGGGTTGGGATGGGTTGGGTTGGGTTGGGTTGGGTTGGGTTGGGATGGGTTGGGTTGGGTTGGGATGGGTTGGGTTGGGTTGGGGTTGGGTTGGAATGGGTTGGGTTGGGTTGGGTTGGGATGGGTTGGGTTGGGTTGGGTTGGGTTGAGTTGGGTTGGGTTGGGTTGGGTTGGGATGGGTTGGGTTGAGTTGGGTTGGGTTGGGTTGGGATGGGTTGGGTTGGGTTGGGTTGGGTTGGGATGGGTTGGGTTGAGTTGGGTTGGGTTGGGTTGGGTTGGGATGGGTTGGGTTGGGTTGGGTTGGGATGGGTTGGGTTGGGTTGGGATGGGTTGGGTTGGGTTGAGTTGGGATGGGTTGGGGTTGGGTTGGGTTGGGTTGGGATGGGTTGGGTTGGGTTGGGATGGGTTGGGTTGGGTTGGGATGGGATTGGATTGGGATTGGATGGGATATGATTGGGATGAGATTGGTTGGGTTCCCACCCAGAGGCCCCCTCCCCCCTCCCTCCCCCCTCCCCCCCTTATGGAGCCTTTTGGTGACGTCCCCCTCCCCCCATCCCCATCCCCCCCCATCCCCCCCCATCCTCTCCCCCTCCAAGGAGGCTGTGGGGTCCCATGAAGGGTGGGGGAGGGGGGGAGGCAGCACCCATGGGTCCCCCCCACCCAGCACCCTCGGGTCCTCACATTGGGTGGTTTGTGTCTCGTCTTCCCCCCCCCCCCCACCATTGTCTGCCCTGTTGGTCTGCATCACCTTCATCTTCATCATCTCCATCGTCACCATCACCTCCGTCATCATCTCCATCTTCATCATCATCATCTACATCATCAACTTCATCTCCATCATCTTCATCACCTCCATCCATCATCATCACCTCCATCATCACCTTCATCTCCATCATCTTCATCAACTCCATCATCATCATCACCTCCATCCCATCATCATCACCTTCATCTCCATCATCTTCATCACCTCCGTCTTCATCATCATCATTATCACCTTCATCATCATCACCTCCATCCCATCATCATCATCACCTCCATCCCATCATCATCACCTCCATCCCATCATCTTCATCATCACCTTCATCATCGCCACCACCTCCATCATCACCACCTCCATCCCATCATCACCTCATCCCATCATCACCTTCACTATCCCATCATCATCATTATCACCTTCATCATCATCACCTCCATCCCATCACCACCTCCATCCCATCATCATCATCATCACCTTCATCATCATCACCTCCATCCCATCATCACCTTCATCCCATCATCATCATCATCACCTCCATCATCACCACCTCCATCCCATCATCACCTTCATCCCATCATCATCATTATCACCTTCATCATCATCACCTCCATCCCATCACCACCTCCATCCCATCATCATCATCACCACCTTCATCCCATCACCACCTCCATCCCATCATCATCATCACCACCTCCATCCCATCATCATCACCACCACCTCCATCCCATCACCACCTCCATCCCATCATCATCATCATCACCTCCATCATCACCACCTCCATGCCATCATCATCATCATCACCTCCATCATCACCACCTCCATCCCATCACCACCTCCATCCCATCATCATCATCATCACCTCCATCATCACCACCTCCATCCCATCACCACCTCCATCCCATCATCATCATCATCACCTCCATCATCACCACCTCCATCCCATCACCACCTCCATCCCATCATCATCATCATCACCTCCATCATCACCTCCATCATCACCACCTCCATCCCATCACCACCTCCATCCCATCATCATCATCATCACCTCCATCATCACCACCTCCATCCCATCACCACCTCCATCCCATCATCATCATCATCACCACCTCCATCCCATCATCACCTCCATCCCATCATCATCACCTTCATCATCATCATCTCAACCTCCATCATCATCACCTTCATCCCATCATCATCACCTTCATCATCATCACCTCCATCCCATCATCACCTCCATCCCATCATCATCATCACCACCTCCATCCCATCACCATCACCTCCATCCCATCATCATCACCTTCATCACCACCACCTCCATCCCATCACCACCTCCATCCCATCATCATCATCATCACCTTCATCACCACCACCTCCATCCCATCACCACCTTCATCCCATCATCATCATCATCATCCCGCCCCCCCCCCAGGCCAGCAAGCCGAAGCCCCACGGGCTGATGAGCCCAGCCAATGGGAAGGGGAAATCCCTTGGGAAGCGCCCCGGGAACGGGGGGCACAAGACCATGGGGCTGAGGTTCCCCTCCAGGGCTCAAGGCAACAGCTACCAGCAGGTAGGGAATGCTCCTGCACCCGGCATCCAGCCCTGTCCAGGCATCCCTATGCATCCCTATGCATCCCTATCCATCCCTATCCATCCATCACCCATCCCTATGCATCCATCATCCATCCATCATCCATCCATCATCCATCCCTATGCATCCCTATCCATCCATCATCCATCCCTATGCATCCCTATGCATCCATCATCCATCCCTCTGCATCCCTATCCATCCATCATCCATCCCTATCCATCCATCATCCATCCCTATGCATCCCTATGCATCCATCATCCATCCATATCCATCCATATCCATCCCTATCCATCCCTATCCATCCCTATCCATCCCTATGCATCCCTATGCATCCATCATCCATCCCTATCCATCCATCATCCATCCCTATGCATCCCTATCCATCCATCATCCATCCATCATCATCCATCATCCATCCATATCCATCCATATCCATCCCTATGCATCCCTATCCATCCATCATCCATCCATATGCATCCCTATGCATCCCTATGCATCCATATCCATCCATATACATCCCTATGCATCCCTATGTATCCCTATGCATCCCTATCCATCCCTATGCATCCCTATGCATCCATATGCATCCCTATGCATCCTCTATGCATCCGAAGACAAGCCTATCCATCCATCATCCATCCCTATGCATCCCTATCCATCCATCATCCATCCTATGCATCCCTATCCATCCCTATGCATCCCCATCCATCCTATGCATCCCCATCCATCCATCATCCATCCCTATCCATCCCTATCCATGCATCCATCCTTATCCATCCTTATCCATCCATCATCCATCCATCCATCCATCATCCATCCATCATCCATCCATCATCCATCCCCATCCATCCCAATCCATCCCAATCCATCCCAATCCATCCATCCATCCATCCATCCCCATCCATCCATCATCCATCCCAATCCATCCCCATCCATCCCCATCCATCCCCATCCATCCCCATCCATCCCATCCATCCCATCCATTCCCATCCATTCCCATCCATCCCCATCCATCCCCATCCATCCCCATCCATCCCCATCCATCCATCCATCCCCATCCATCCCCATCCCATCCCAATCCATCCCCATCCATCCCCATCCATCCCAATCCATCCCCATCCATCCCCATCCATCCCCATCCATCCCAATCCATCCCCATCCATCCCCATCCATCCCCATCCATCCCAATCCATCCCCATCCATCCCCATCCATCCCCATCCATCCCCATCCATCCCATCCATCCCCATCCATCCCCATCCATCCCAATCCATCCCCATCCATCCCAATCCATCCCCATCCATCCCAATCCACCCATCCATCCCAATCCATCCCCATCCATCCCCATCCATCCCAATCCATCCCCATCCATCCCCATCCATCCCCATCCATCCCCATCCATCATCCATCCCCATCCATCCCAATCCATCCCCATCCATCCCCATCCATCCCAATCCATCCCCATCCATCCCCATCCATCCCCATCCATCCCCATCCATCCCAATCCATCCCCATCCATCCCCATCCATCCCCATCCATCCCCATCCATCCCCATCCATCATCCATCCCCATCCATCCCCATCCATCCCCATCCATCCCCATCCATCCCCATCCATCCCCATCCATCCCAATCCATCCCAATCCATCCCCATCCATCCCCATCCATCCCCATCCATCCCCATCCATCCCAATCCATCCCCATCCATCCCCATCCATCCCCATCCATCCCAATCCATCCCCATCCATCCCAATCCATCCCCATCCATCCCCATCCATCCCAATCCATCCCCATCCATCCCCATCCATCCCCATCCATCCCAATCCATCCCCATCCATCCCAATCCATCCCTCCCTTCTCCCCCATAACCCCCTCCCCGACCCCCCCCCGCCCCATAGAACACCTGATGGGACCAACGCAGGTAACACCATGGGGGCCCCCAGTTGGGGGGCCAGTTGGGGGGCATTAAGGCTCCATGCCCCCCATCGCTAATGGGGCTGCTCCTCCATGGTATCCATCAGGATGAGGATGAGGATGAGGATGGGGGTCCCCATTGGGCCTATGAGTACGTTGGGCCCCCCCATCCTCATGTGTGTCCCCAGCTGTGACGTCACACGGGGCGCGTGTGACGTCATCACCGGCCTCCCTCGGCTTCCTCCCCATTGGCTTGACTGACCCCCAACCTCCCCCATCCTCCTTTGGGAGGGTTTAATGGGGGGGGGGGGGTGTTAACACAGCTTCATCCCAAATTAATCAAGATTCATCCCAAATTTATCCCAAATTTATCCAAAATTTATCCCAAATTTATCCCAAATTCATCCCAAATTTATCCCAAATCCATACCAAATCCATACCAAATTCATCCCAAATTTATCCCCAATTCATCCCAAATCCATCCCAAGTTTATCCCAAATTTAACCCAAATTTATCCCAAATCCACCCCAAATTTACCCAGCTTCATCCCAAATTTATCCCTGCTTCCTCCCAAATTTATCCCAAATTTATCCCAAATTCATCCAAAATTTATCCCAAATTCATCGCAAATTCATCCCTCTTCATCCCAAATTTATCCCAGCTTCATCACAAATTCATCCCAAATTTAACCCCAATTCATCCCAAATGTATTCTAAATTCATCCCAGATTTATCCCAGATTCATCCCAGATTTATCCCAAATTCATCCCAAATTCATCGCAGATTTATCCCAAATTCATCCCAAATTTACACAGCTTCATCCCAAATTTATCCCTGCTTCCTCCCAAATTCAACCCAAATTTATCCCTGCTTCATCCCAAATTTATCCCAGTTTCATCCAAAATTTATCCCAAATTCATCCCAAATTTATCGCAAATGTATTCTAAATGCATCCCAAATGTATCCCAAATTCATCCCAAATTTATCCTAAATTCATCCCAAATTTATCCCTGCTTTATCCCAAATGTATCCCAAATTTATCTCAAATTCACCCCATATTTATCCCAAATTCATCCCGAATTTATCCCAGCTTCATCCCAATTCGTCCCTGCTTTATCCCAAATTTATCCCTGCTTCATCCCGAATTTATTCCAAATTCACCCCAAATTTATCCCAAATTCATCCCGAATTTATCCCTGCTTTATCCCAACCTCGTCCCAGCTTTATCCCACCTTTAACCCGATTTAAATCCAACTTAAACCCAACTTTAATCCATCTTCCACCCAACTCAACCCAACCCAACTCAACCCAACCCAACCCAACTCAACTCAACCCAACCCAACCCAACTCAACCCCAACCCAACTCAACCCAACCCAACCCAACTCAACCCAACCCAACCCAACTCAACTCAACCCAACCCAACCCAACTCAACCCCAACCCAACTCAACCCAACCCAACCCAACTCAACCCAACCCAACCCAACCCAACCCAACCCAACCCAACTCAACCCAACCCAACCCAACCCAACTCAACCCAACCCAACCCAACTCAACCCATCCCAACCCAACTCAACCCAACTCAACCCATCCCAACCCAGCTCAACCCAACTCAACCCAACCCAACCCAACTCAACCCAACCCAACCCAACCCAACCCAACTCAACCCAACCCAACTCAACCCAACCCAACTCAACCCAACCCAACCCAACTCAACCCAACCCAACCCAACCCAACTCAACTCAACCCAACCCAACCCAACCCAACTCAACCCAACCCAACCCAACTCAACCCATCCCAACCCAACTCAACCCAACTCAACCCATCCCAACCCAGCTCAACCCAACTCAACCCAACCCAACCCAACTCAACCCAACCCAACCCAACCCAACCCAACTCAACCCAACCCAACTCAACCCAACCCAACTCAACCCAACCCAACCCAACTCAACCCAACCCAACCCAACCCAACTCAACTCAACCCAACCCAACCCAACCCAACTCAACCCAACCCAACCCAACTCAACCCAACCCAACCCAACCCAACTCAACCCAACCCAACCCAACTCAACCCAACCCAACCCAACCCAACCCAACTCAACCCAACCCAACCCAACCCAACTCAACCCCCGCCATTAATCTGGGGGTGACTTGAGGGGTTGGGGGGCAGCTTGAGGTGTGGGACACACACATGTGGGGTGCCCCACACTCATGGGTCCCATTGTGGGGGGGTTACATGTCTGCCCCCCCCAGGCTGTGCTCGGCGTCAGGGGCTACAAGGGTGAGAAGGGGGAACCCGCTGTCCTCGAGCCGGTACGTTTGCGCCCCCCAAGTCCCACCCCACATCTCCCCCTATGTCCCCAGTGACACCCGACCCACCTGCCCCCCAACACCTCCTTTTCTTCTCCTATAGGGAATGTTGGTGGAAGGCCCCCCCGGACCGGAGGGACCAGCGGTAAGATACCCCCCCCCCCCATTGGGGGTGATGCTATGGGGCGGGGGTGTCGGGTCCGCTTTGGGGTCACCATCACCCCATGGATCTCTTGGCTTCTCCATAGGGAATGTCGGGACCCCCGGGCACACAGGGACCACCGGGAGCACCGGGAGAGCCGGGAGAGAGGGTGAGACCCCCATGATGCACCTTCACCCCATTGACCCCCATTACCCCATTGACGCCCATCACCCCATTGACCCCCATCACCCCATTGACCCCCATCACCCCATTGACGCCCATCACCCCATTGACCCCCATTGCCCCCCATCACCCCATTGACCCCCATTACCCCTTTGACCTCCCGTCGTCCCATTGCCCCCCATTGCCCCCATCACCCCATTGACCCCCATCACCCCATTGCCCCCATCACCCCATTGACCCCACTGCTCCCATTGCCCCCATCACCCCATTGCCCCCATTGACCCCCATCACCCCATTGCCCCCCATCACCCCATTGCCCCCATTGACCCCCATCACCCCATTGACCCCCATCACCCCATTGCCCCCCATCACCCCATTGCCCCCCATTGCCCCCCATCACCCCATTGCCCCCCATTGCCCCCCATCATCCCTCCAGGGCCCCCCCGGCCGTGCCGGCCTCCCCGGCTCCGACGGGACCCCCGGGCCCCCCGGCACCTCCATGATGCTCCCGGTGAGTTCCCATTGGCTCCCTCCCCCCCCATCCCAACGAACCCCCCCCCCCCCCCATTCTTTGGGGTGGTGGTTGTGGGGTGGGGGTGTGGGGGGTTGTTCCCATCCCAATCCCATCCCATTCCCATCCCAGTTCCGCTTTGGTGGTGGCACTGGGGATAAGGGGCCGGTGGTGGCGGCGCAGGAGGCCCAAGCTCAGGCCATCCTACAGCAAGCAAGGGTGAGCTATGGGGCTGGGGAGGATGGGGGGCACGGGGGACATCAGCAATGGGGGCCCCAAACCCAACTGAAGACCATCAATGGGGTCGCCAAACCCGTTCCAATGGGGGCCCAAACCCATTCCAATGGGGTCTTCGAAGACCATCAATGGGGTCCCAAAGACCATCAATGGGGTCGCCAAACCCGTTCCAATGGGGTCCCCAACCCGTTCCAATGGGGTCTTCGAAGACCATCAATGGGGTCCCCAAACCCGTTCCAATGGGGTCTTCGAAGACCATCAATGGGGTCCCCAAACCCGTTCCAATGGGGTCTTCGAAGACCATCAATGGGGTCCCAAAGACCATCAATGGGGTCGCCAAACCCGTTCCAATGGGGTCCCCAACCCGTTCCAATGGGGTCTTCGAAGACCATCAATGGGGTCCCAAACCCGTTCCAATGGGGTCCCCAACCCGTTCCAATGGGGTCCCAAACCCGTTCCAATGGGGTCTTCAAAGACCATCAATGGGGTCCCAAAGACCATCAATGGGGTCCCAAACCCATTCCAATGGGTTCCCAAAGACCATCAATGGGGTCGCCAAACCCGTTCCAATGGGGTCCCAAACACGTTCCAATGGGGTCTTCGAAGACCATCAATGGGGTCCCAAAGACCATCAATGGGGTCTCAAAGACCATCAATGGGGTCTTCAAAGACCATCAATGGGGTCTCAAAGACCATCAATGGGGTCCCCAAACCCGTTCCAATGGGGTCTTCAAAGACCATCAATGGGGTCACCAAACCCGTTCCAATGGGGTCCCCAACCCGTTCCAATGGGGTCTTCGAAGACCATCAATGGGTTCCCAAAGACCATCAATGGGGTTCCCAAACCCGTTCCAATGGGGTCTTCAAAGACCATCAATGGGGTCCCAAAGACCATCAATGGGTTCCCAAAGACCATCAATGGGGTCGCCAAACCCGTTCCAATGGGGTCTTCAAAGACCATCAATGGGGTCCCAAAGACCCTCAATGGGGTTCCCAATGACCTCCAATGGGATCCAAAATGACCTCCAATGCGACCCCCAACCCCATCCCAATGGGACCCCCAATGACCTCCAATGGGACCCCCAACCCCATCCCAATGGGACCCCAATGACCTCCAATGGGACCCCCAACCCCATCCCTATGGGATCCCAATGACCTCCAATGGGACCCCCAACCCCATCCCAATGGGACCCCCAACCCCATCCCAATGAGACCCCAATGACCTCCAATGGGACCCCCAACCCCACCCCAATGGGACCCCAATGACCTCCAATGGGACCCCCAACCCCATCCCAATGGGACCCCAATGACCTCCAATGGGACCCCAATGACCTCCAATGGGACCCCCAACCCCATCCCTATGGGACCCCAATGACCTCCAATGGGACCCCCAACCCCATCCCAATGGGACCCCAATGACCTCCAATGGGACCCCCAACCCCATCCCAATGGGACCCCCAACCCCATCCCAATGGGACCCCAATGACTTCCAATGGGACCCCCAACCCCACCCCAATGGGACCCCAATGACCTCCAATGGGACCCCCAACCCCATCCCAATGGGACCCCAATGACCTCCAATGGGACCCCAATGACCTCCAATGGGACCCCCAACCCCATCCCAATGGGACCCCAATGACCTCCAATGGGACCCCCAACCCCATCCCAATGGGACCCCAATGGCCTCCAATGGGACCCCAACCCCATCCCTATGGGACCCCAATGACCTCCAATGGGACCCCCAACCCCATCCCAATGGGACCCCAATGACCTCCAATGGGACCCCCAACCCCATCCCAATGGGATCCCAATGACCTCCAATGGGACCCACAACCCCATCCCAATGGGACCCCCAACCCCATCCCAATGGGACCCCAATGACCTCCAATGGGACCCCCAACCCCATCCCAATGGGACCCCAATGACCTCCAATGGGACCCCCAACCCCATCCAATGGGGACCCCCAACCCCATCCCAATGGGACCCCAATGACTTCCAATGGGACCCCCAACCCCATCCCAATGGGACCCCATTGACCTCCAATGGGACCCCCAACCCCATCCCAATGGGACACCAATGACTTCCAATGGGACCCCCAACCCCATCCCAATGGGACCCCAATGACCTCCAATGGGACCCCCAACCCCATCCCTATGGGACCCCAATGACCTCCAATGGGACCCCCAACCCCATCCCAATGGGACCCCAATGACTTCCAATGGGACACCCAACCCCATCCCAATGGGACCCCAATGACTTCCAATGGGACCCCCAACCCCATCCCAATGGGACCCCAATGACCTCCAATGGGACCCCCAACCCCATCCCAATGGGACCCCAATGACCTCCAATGGGACCCCCAACCCTATCCCAATGGGACCCCAATGACCTCCAATGGGACCCCCAACCCCATCCCAATGGGACCCCCAACCCCATCCCAATGGGACCCCAATGACCTCCAATGGGACCCCCAACCCCATCCCAATGGGACCCCAATGACCTCCATGGGACCCCAATGACCTCCAATGGGACCCCCAACCCCATCCCTATGGGACCCCAATGACCTCCAATGGGACCCCCAACCCCATCCCAATGGGACCCCAATGACCTCCAATGGGACCCCCAACCCCATCCCAATGGGACCCCAATGACTTCCAATGGGACCCCCAATGACCTCCAATGGGACCCCAATGACCTCCAATGGGACCCCCAACCCCATCCCAATGGGACCCCAATGACCTCCAATGGGACCCCCAACCCCATCCCAATGGGACCCCAATGACCTCCAATGGGACCCCCAACCCCATCCAATGGGGACCCCCAACCCCATCCCAATGGGACCCCAATGACCTCCAATGGGACCCCCAACCCCATCCCAATGGGACCCCAATGACTTCCAATGGGACCCCAATGACCTCCAATGGGACCCCAATGACCTCCAATGGGACCCCCAACCCCATCCCAATGGGACCCCAATGACCTCCAATGGGACCCCAATGACTTCCAATGGGACCCCCAACCCCATCCCAATGGGACCCCCAACCCCATCCCAATGGGACCCCCAACCCCATCCCTATGGGGCCCCCCATATCCCAAGGAATTCCAGCATTAACCCCCCCCCCCCATCTTTCTCCTTCCCAGTTGGCTCTCCGGGGTCCCCCCGGCCCTATGGGATTCACCGGCCGGCCCGGCCCCATGGTGGGTACCGCATTGGACGTTGGGATATGGGTCGCTATGGGGCAGCTTTGTGACCACCCCCCCCCCCCGCCCCATATCCCTCCTTCTCCCAAGGGCCAACCGGGAAGCAACGGGATCAAGGGGGAATGCGGTGACTTCGGCCCCCAAGTGAGTGCTATGGGGCTGGGAAGGGGGTTGTGGGGCGCGCTATGGGGCAGGAGGGAATCTCCTTCTTTATTACCCCATAGGGACCACGAGGACCCCAAGGACTCATGGGACCGCCTGGAAAGCCGGGAAGGAGGGTGAGATGTGGGGCTGGGAATGGGGTAGGGGGTATTGAACCCCATTGAACCCCATTGAACCCCATTGAACCCCATTGAAACCCATTGAACCCCATTGAAACCCATTGCACCCCATTGAACCCCATTGAAACCCATTGAACCCCATTGAACCCCATTGCATCCCATTGAACCCCATTGAACCCCATTGCATCCCATTGAACCCCATTGCACCCCATTGAACCCATTGCACCCCACTGAACCCCATTGAACCCCATTGAACCCCATTGAACCCCATTGCACCCCATTGCACCCATTGCACCCCATTGCACCCCATTGCACCCCATTGAACCCCATTGAAACCCATTGAACCCCATTGCACCCCATTGCACCCCATTGACCCCATTGCACCCCATTGATCCCCATTGAACCCCATTGCACCCCATTGAACCCATTGAACCCCATTGAACCCCATTGCACCCCATTGCACCCATTGCACCCCATTGCACCCCATTGCACCCCATTGAACCCCATTGAAACCCATTGAACCCCATTGAACCCCATTGCACCCCATTGCACCCCATTGACCCCATTGCACCCCATTGATCCCCATTGCACCCCATTGAACCCATTGAACCCCATTGCACCCCATTGAACCCCATTGAACCCATTGAACCCCATTGCACCCCATTGCACCCCATTGAACCCCATTGCACCCCATTGAACCCATTGAACCCCATTGAACCCCATTGCATCCCATTGAACCCCATTGAACCCCATTGCGCCCCATTGCACCCCATTGACCCCATTGCACCCCATTGCACCCCATTGAACCCCATTGAACCCCACTGACCCCATTGAACCCCATTGCACCCCATTGCACCCCATTGACCCCATTGAACCCCATTGCACCCCATTGAACCCCATTGCACCCATTGAACCCCATTGATCCCCATTGCACCCCATTGCACCCCATTGAACCCCATTGAACCCCATTGATCCCCATTGAACCCCATTGAACCCCCATTGAACCCCATTGCACCCCATTGACCCCCATTGAACCCCATTGAAACCCATTGAACCCCATTGCACCCCATTGCACCCCATTGCACCCCATTGAACCCCATTGACCCCATTGAACCCCATTGCACCCCATTGCACCCCATTGACCCCATTGAACCCCATTGCACCCCATTGAACCCCATTGACCCCATTGTGCCCCATTGCACCCCATTGCGCCCCATTGCACCCCATTGATCCCCATTGCACCCCATTGACCCCATTGAACCCCATTGAACCCCATTGCACCCCATTGCACCCCATTGCACCCCATTGAACCCCATTGAAACCCATTGAACCCCATTGAACCCCATTGAACCCCATTGAAACCCATTGAACCCCATTGAACCCCATTGAACCCATTGAACCCCATTGAACCCCATTGCACCCCATTGCACCCCATTGAACCCCATTGAACCCATTGAAACCCATTGAACCCCATTGCACCCCATTGCACCCCATTGAACCCCATTGAACCCCATTGCGCCCCATTGACCCCATTGCGCCCCATTGAACCCCATTGAACCCCATTGCATCCCATTGAACCCCATTGAACCCCATTGAAACCCATTGAACCCCATTGCACCCCATTGCATCCCATTGAACCCCATTGAACCCCATTGAACCCATTGAACCCCATTGCACCCCATTGCACCCCATTGAACCCATTGACCCCATTGTGCCCCATTGCACCCCATTGCACCCCATTGAACCCATTGAACCCCATTGCACCCCATTGAACCCATTGACCCCATTGTGCCCCATTGCACCCCATTGCGCCCCATTGCGCCCCACAGGGCCGGCCGGGAGCAGACGGAGCCAGGGGGATGCCGGGGGAGCCGGGTGCCAAGGTACCCTATGGGGCCCAGACCCATAGATCCCCCCCCCATTGTACTTGTGGGGCTGAGCCCCCCAACAGGGAATGGGGAGATCCCATAGGGGTGGGCTTGGACCCATGGATTCCATGGGGCAGGAGTTGGGGGGGGGGGGGGGGGAAACACAGACCCCAAGATTCCATGGGGTGGGATGGGATCGATGTGGGGCAAACCCCCCCCCCCCCCCCATTTCTCTCTATGGGGCTGAGCCCCATGGGTGCCCCCCACCCATGGGTGCTCTCCCCACCCCATATCTATAGGGTGACCGAGGCTTCGATGGGCTCCCAGGACTGCCGGGGGACAAAGGGCAGCGGGTGAGTACCACCTGCCCCATAGAGACCTATGGGGTGACACCGGCCCCATAGAGCCCTATGGGGTGATACCGGCCCCATAGAGCCCTATGGGGTGATACCAGCCCCATAGAGCCCTATGGGGTGATACCGGCCCCATTGAGCCCTATGGGGTGATACCGGCCCCATTGATCACTATGGGGTGACACCGGCCCCATTGAGCCCTATGGGGTGACACCGGCCCCATAGAGCCCTATGGATAACACTGACCCCATAGAGCCCTATGGGATAACACTGGCCCCATTGAGCCCTATGGGGTGACACCGGCCCCATAGAGCCCTATGGTGTGATACCAGCCCCATTGAGCCCAATGGGGTGACACCGGCCCCATTGAGCCCTATGGGGTGACACCGGCCCCATTGAGCCTTATGGGGTGACACCGGCCCCATTGATCACTATGGGGTGACACCGGCCCCATTGAGGGCTATGGGGTGACACTGGCACCATTGAGCCCTATGGGGTGACACCGGCCCCATAGAGCCCTATGGGGTGACACCAGCCCCATTGATCCCTATGGGGTGATTCCAGCCCCATAGAGCCCTAAGGGGTGACACTGGCCCCATAGAGCCCTCTGGATAACACCGGCCCCATAGAGCCCTATGGGGTGACACCGGCCCCATTGAGCCCTATGGGGTGACTCCGTCCCCATTGAGCCCTATGGGGTGATACCGGCCCCATTGAGCCCTATGGGGTGATACCGGCCCCATTGAGCCCTATGGGGTGACGCCTTCCCCATAGAGCCCTATGGGGTGATACCGGCCCCATTGAGCCCTATGGATAACACCGGCCCCATTGATCACTATGGGGTGACACCAGCCCCACTGATCCCTATGGGGTGATACCGGCCCCATTGACCCCTATGGATAACACCGGCCCCATAGAGCCCTATGGGGTGATACCGGCCCCATTGAGCCCTATGGGGTGAGACCGGCCCCATTGAGCCCTATGGGGTGATACCAGCCCCATTGAGCCCTATGGGGTGATACCGGCCCCATTGAGCCCTATGGATAACACCGGCCCCATTGAGCCCTATGGGGTGATACCGGCCCCATTGATCCCTATGGGGTGACACCGGCCCCATTGAGCACTATGGGGTGACACCGGCCCCACTGATCCCTATGGGATAACCCCGGCCCCATTGAGCCCTATGGGGTGACTCCGTCCCCATTGAGCCCTATGGGGTGACACCGCCCCCATAGAGCCCTATGGGATAACACCGGCCCCATTGAGCCCTATGGATAACACCGGCCCCATTGATCACTATGGGGTGACACCGGCCCCACTGAGCCCTATGGATAACACCGGCCCCATTGAGCCCTATGGGGTGACACCGGCCCCATTGAGCCCTATGGGGTGACACCGGCCCCATAGAGACCTATGGGTTGATAACGGCCCCATTGAGCCCTATGGGGTGATACCGGCCCCATAGAGACCTATGGGGTGATACCGGCCCCATTGAGCCCTATGGGGTGACACCGGCCCCATTGAGCCCTATGGGGTGATACTGGCCCCATTGAGCCCTATGGGGTGACACCGGCCCCATTGAGCCCTATGGGGTGATACCGGCTCCATAGAGCCCTATGGATAACAACGGCCCCATTGATCACTATGGGGTGACACCAGCCCCATAGAGCCCTATGGGGTGATACCGGCCCCATTGAGCCCTATAGGGTGAGACCGGCCCCATTGAGACCTATGGGGTGACACTGGCCCCATAGAGCCCTATGGGGTGATACCAGCCCCATAGAGCCCTATGGGATGATACCAGCCCCATTGAGCCCTATGGGGTGATACCAGCCCCATAGAGCCCTATGGGGTGATACCAGCCCCATTGATCCCTATGGGGTGATACCGGCCCCATTGAGCCCTATGGGGTGATACCTGCCCCATTGAGCCCTATGGGGTGATACCGGCCCCATAGAGACCTATGGGGTGATACCGGCCCCATTGATCATTATGGGGTGACACCGGCCCCATTGAGCCCTATGGGGTGATACCGGCCCCATTGAGCCCTATGGGGTGATACCGGCCCCATAGAGACCTATGGGGTGATACCGGCCCCATAGAGCCCTATGGGGTGATACCGGCCCCATTGATCACTATGGGGTAATACCGGCCCCATAGAGACCTATGGGGTGACAACGGCCTCATTGAGCCCTATGGATAACACCGGCCCCATTGATCACTATGGGGTGACACCGGCCCCACTGAGCCCTATGGATAACACCGGCCCCATTGAGCCCTATGGGGTGACACCGGCCCCATTGAGCCCTATGGGGTGACACCGGCCCCATAGAGACCTATGGGGTGATACCGGCCCCATTGAGCCCTATGGGATAGCACCGGCCCCATTGATCCCTATGGGATAACCCCGGCCCCATTGATCCCTATGGGATAACCCCGGCCCCATTGATCCCTATGGGATAACCCCGGCCCCATTGATCCCTATGTGATAACCCCGGCCCCATTGATCCCTATGGGATAACACCGGCCCCATTGATCCCTATGGGATAACACCGGCCCCATTGATCCCTATGGGATAACACCGGCCCCATTGATCCCTATGGGATAACACCGGCCCCATTGATCCCTATGGGATAACACCGGCCCCATTGATCCCTATGGGATAACCCCGGCCCCATTGATCCCTATGGGATAACCCCGGCCCCATTGATCCCTATGGGATAACACCGGCCCCATTGATCCCTATGGGATAACCCCGGCCCCATTGATCCCTATGGGATAACACCGGCCCCATTGATCCCTATGGGATAACACCGGCCCCATTGATCCCTATGGGATAACACCGGCCCCATTGATCCCTATGGGATAACACCGGCCCCATTGATCCCTATGGGATAACACCGGCCCCATTGATCCCTATGGGATAACACCGGCCCCATTGATCCCTATGGGGTGACACCGGCCCCATTGATCCCTATGGGGTGACACCGGCCCCATTGATCCCTATGGGATAACCCCAGCCCCATTGATCCCTATGGGATAACCCCTGCCCCATTGATCCCTATGGGATAACCCCGGCCCCACTGATCCCTATGGGATAACCCCGGCCCCATTGATCCCTATGGGATAACACCGGCCCCATTGATCCCTATGGGATAACACCGGCCCCATTGATCCCTATGGGATAACACCGGCCCCATTGACCCCTATGGGATAACACCGGCCCCATTGACCCCTATGGGATGACACCGGCCCCATTGATCCCTATGGGATAACACCGGCCCCATTGATCCCTATGGGATGACACCGGCCCCATTGACCCCTATGGGATAACACCGGCCCCATTGATCCCTATGGGATAACCCCGGCCCCATTGATCCCTATGGGATAACACCGGCCCCATTGATCCCTATGGGATAACACCGGCCCCATTGATCCCTATGGGATAACACCGGCCCCATTGACCCCTATGGGATAACACCGGCCCCATTGACCCCTATGGGATGACACCGGCCCCATTGATCCCTATGGGATAACACCGGCCCCATTGATCCCTATGGGATGACACCGGCCCCATTGACCCCTATGGGATGACACCGGCCCCATTGATCCCTATGGGATAACACCGGCCCCATTGATCCCTATGGGATAACACCGGCCCCATTGATCCCTATGGGATAACCCCGGCCCCATTGATCCCTATGGGATAACACCGGCCCCATTGATCCCTATGGGATAACACCGGCCCCATTGACCCCTATGGGATAACACCGGCCCCATTGATCCCTATGGGATATCACCGGCCCCATTGATCCCTATGGGATAACACCGGCCCCATTGATCCCTATGGGGTGACACCGGCCCCATTGACCCCTTTGGGATAACACCGGCCCCATTGATCCCTATGGGATAACCCCGGCCCCATTGATCCCTATGGGATAACACCGGCCCCATTGATCCCTATGGGATAACACCGGCCCCATTGATCCCTATGGGATAACCCCGGCCCCATTGATCCCTATGGGATAACCCCGGCCCCATTGATCCCTATGGGATAACACCGGCCCCATTGATCCCTATGGGATAACACCGGCCCCATTGATCCCTATGGGATAACCCCGGCCCCATTGATCCCTATGGGATAACACCGGCCCCATTGATCCCTATGGGATAACCCCGGCCCCATTGATCCCTATGGGATAACACCGGCCCCATTGATCCCTATGGGATAACCCCGGCCCCATTGATCCCTATGGGATAACACCGGCCCCATTGATCCCTATGGGATAACCCCGGCCCCATTGATCCCTATGGGATAACACCGGCCCCATTGATCCCTATGGGATAACCCCGGCCCCATTGATCCCTATGGGATAACACCGGCCCCATTGATCCCTATGGGATAACCCCGGCCCCATTGATCCCTATGGGATAACCCCGGCCCCATTGATCCCTATGGGGTGACACCGGCCCCATTGATCCCTATGGGATGACACCGGCCCCATTGATCCCTATGGGATAACACCGGCCCCATTGATCCCTATGGGGTGATACCGGCCCCATTGATCCCTATGGGGTGACACCGGCCCCATTGATCCCTATGGGATAACACCGGCCCCATTGATCCCTATGGGATAACACCGGCCCCATTGATCCCTATGGGATAACACCGGCCCCATTGATCCCTATGGGATAACACCGGCCCCATTGATCCCTATGGGATAACCCCGGCCCCATTGATCCCTATGGGATAACCCCGGCCCCATTGATCCCTATGGGATAACACCGGCCCCATTGATCCCTATGGGATAACCCCGGCCCCATTGATCCCTATGGGATAACCCCGGCCCCATTGATCCCTATGGGATAACACCGGCCCCATTGATCCCTATGGGATAACCCCGGCCCCATTGATCCCTATGGGATAACACCGGCCCCATTGATCCCTATGGGATAACCCCGGCCCCATTGATCCCTATGGGATAACCCCGGCCCCATTGATCCCTATGGGATAACACCGGCCCCATTGATCCCTATGGGGCGCCGCCTCCTTCCTTCCCCTTCCCTCCCTCCTCCCTTGGCCCCATTCCATGGGGCACAGAGGCCCCATTGAGCTCCTCACTGAGGCCCCATTCATGGCCCCACAGCGCCAATCCTGGCCCCACTTCCCTTTGCTTTCCTATAGGGCGACCCCGGCACGCAGGGAACCCCGGGCCCCCCCGGTGAGGATGGAGATGGGGTGAGTGAGCTTCCTGCCCCATAGATCCCTATGGATCAACCCCCCTGCCCCATAGATCCGTATGGATCAACCCCCCTGCCCCATAGATCCCTATGGATCAACCCCCTGCCCCATAGATCCCTATGGAACATCATCCCCTGCCCCATAGATCCCTATGGATCAACCCCCTGCCCCATAGATCCCTATGGATCAACCCCCCTGCCCCATAGATCCCTATGGATCAACCCCCTGCCCCATAGATCCCTATGGATCATCATCCCCTGCCCCATAGATCCCTATGGATCAACCCCCTGCCCCATACATCCCTATGGAACATCATCCCCTGCCCCATAGATCCCTATGGATCAACCCCCTGCCCCATAGATCCCTATGGATCAACCCCCTGCCCCATAGATCCCTATGGATCAACCCCCCTGCCCCATAGATCCCTATGGATCAACCCCCCTGCCCCATAGATCCCTATGGATCCTTTCCTGCCCCATAGATCCCTATGGATCACCCCCCCTGCCCCATAGATCCCTATGGATCAACCCCCTGCCCCATTGATCCCTATGGATCAACCCCCCTGCCCCATAGATCCCTATAGGTCATCCCCCCTGCCCCATAGATCCCTATGGATCATCATCCCCTGCCCCATAGATCCCTATGGATCACCCCCCCTGCCCCATAGATCCCTATGGATCATCCCCTCTGCCCCATAGATCCCTATGGATGATCCCCCCCTGCCCCATAGATCCCTATGGATCATCCCCTGCCCCATAGATCCCTATGGAACATCATCCCCTGCCCCATAGATCCCTATGGATGAACCCCCTGCCCCATAGATCCCTATGGATCATCCCCTCTGCCCCATAGATCTCTATGGACCACCCCCCCTGCCCCATAGATCCCTAGGGATCATCATCCCCTGCCCCATAGATCCCTATGGATCATCCCCTCTGCCCCATAGATCCCTATGGATGATCCCCCCCTGCCCCATAGATCCCTATGGATCATCCCCTGCCCCATAGATCCCTATGGAACATCATCCCCTGCCCCATAGATCCCTATGGATGAACCCCCTGCCCCATAGATCCCTATGGATCATCCCCTCTGCCCCATAGATCTCTATGGACCACCCCCCCTGCCCCATAGATCCCTAGGGATCATCATCCCCTGCCCCATAGATCCCTATGGATCATCCCCTCTGCCCCATAGATCCCTATGGATGATCCCCCCCTGCCCCATAGATCCCTATGGATCATCCCCTGCCCCATAGATCCCTATGGAACATCATCCCCTGCCCCATAGATCCCTATGGATGAACCCCCTGCCCCATAGATCCCTATGGATCATCCCCTCTGCCCCATAGATCCCTATGGACCCCCCCCCCTGCCCCATAGATCCCTAGGGATCATCATCCCCTGCCCCATAGATCCCTATGGATCATCCCCCCTGCCCCATAGATCCCTATGGATCAACCCCCCTGCCCCATAGATCCCTATGGATCAACCCCCCTGCCCCATAGATCCCTATGGATCAACCCCCCTGCCCCATAGATCCCTATGGATCATCCCTGCATCCATCCATAGGGCGACGACGGCGCTGTGGGTCCACGAGGCCTCCCTGGAGAAGCGGTAATGGGGTTGGGGGTCCTATGGGGCGCAGCCCCCATTCTATGGGGCCAGCCCCCCCCCAACCCCTCCTCATTCAACCCCCCTCTGCCCCATAGGGACCCAGAGGGCTCCTTGGTCCCAAAGGCCCCCCCGGCATCCCCGGCCCCCCGGTAAGATCTATGGGGCAGCCCCATAGCGGTCTCCTTATCCCCCCCCCATTCCCCAATGCCCCACATCATCCATCTCTCCCCCATAGGGCGTCCGTGGCATGGATGGCCCCGTGGGGCCCAAAGGGAACGTGGTGAGTTGGGGGGCGCCCCACAGCTCCCCATTGAGCTCCTCTAAGCCTGCCCCATAAGTGTGGGGCAGCCCTAGACCCCCATCTCCATCAATAGGGACCTCAAGGGGAACCAGGCCCCCCTGGGCAACAGGGAACACCGGGGACCCAGGTGAGCCCCCAGCCCCATAGGGGCAATGGGGGGGGGGCCGCTATGGGTCGCGGTGGGGTTGGGGGGCGCAATGAGCCCCACATCATCGTCATCGCCCCACATCCTCCTGCTTAGGGGCTGCCGGGACCCCAAGGTGCCACTGGGCCTCCTGGAGACAAGGTGAGCAGTGGGGGGGCAATGGGATAATGGGGGATCTATGGGGCAAAGGGGGGGATCTATGGGGCAAAGGGGGGGATCTATGGGGCAAAGAGGAAGAGATCTATGGGGCAAAGAGGGGGGATCTATGGGGTAAAGAGGAAGATCTATGGGGCAAAGGGGGGGGATCTATGGGGTAAAGAGAGGGGGATCTGTGGGGTAATGAGGGGGGATCTATGGGGCAAAGAGGAAGATCTATGGGGCAAAGGGGGGGATCTATGGGGTAAAGAGAGGGGGATCTATGGGGCAAAGGGGGGGGGATCTGTGGGGCAAAGAGGGGGGGATCTATGGGGCAAAGAGAGGGGGATCTATGGGGCAAAGGGGGGGGGATCTGTGGGGCAAAGAGGGGGGGATCTATGGGGCAAAGAGGGGGGGATCTATGGGGCAAAGGGGGGGGATCTATGGGGCAAAGAGGGGGGGATCTATGGGGCAAAGAGGGGGGATCTATGGGGCAAAGAGGGGGGGATCTATGGGGCAAAGGGGGGGATCTATAGGGCAAAGAGAGGAAGATCTATGGGGCAAAGAGGGTGGTCTATAGGGCAAAGAGAGGGGGATCTATGGGGCAAAGGGGGGGGGATCTATGGGCCAAATAAGGGGGATCTATGGGGCAAAGAGGAAGATCTATGGGGCAAAGGGGGGGATCTATGGGGCAAAGATGGGGGATCTATGGGGCAAAGATGGGGGATCTATGGGGTAAAGAGAGGGGGATCTATGGGGCAAAGGGGGGGGATCTATGGGGCAAAGAGGATGGGATCTATGGGGCAAAGGGGGGGATCTATGGGGTAAAGAGAGGGGGATCTGTGGGGTAAAGAGAGGGGGATCTATGGGGTAAAGAAGGGGGATCTGTGGGGTAATGAGGGGGGATCTATGGGGTAAAGAAGGGGGATCTATGGGGCAAAGAGAGGGGATCTATGGGGCAAAGAGGGTGGTCTATAGGGCAAAGATGGGGGATCAATGGGGCAAAGAGGATGGGATCTATGGGGTAAAGAAGGGGGATCTGTGGGGTAAAGAGAGGGGGATCTATGGGGCAAAGGGGGGGGGATCTATGGGGCAAAGAGGGGGGATCTGTGGGGCAAAGGGGTGGGATCTATGGGGTAAAGAGTGGGGATCTATGGGGCAAAGAAGGGGGGATCTATGGGGCAAAGAGGGGGGATCTATGGGGCAAAGGGGGGGGATCAATGGGGCAAAGAGGGGGGATCTATGGGGCAAAGAGGATGGGATCTATGGGGCAAAGAGGGGGGATCTATGGGGTAAAGAAAGGGGGATCTATGGGGCAAAGAGGGGGATCTATGGGGCAAAGAGGATGGGATCTATGGGGCAAAGGGGGGGATCTATGGGGCAAAGATGGGGGATCTATGGGGCAAAGAGGGGGGGATCTATGGGGTAAAGAGAGGGGGATCTGTGGGGCAAAGAGGGGTATCTATGGGGCAAAGAGGAAGATCTATGGGGCAAAGAGGGGGGATCTATGGGGCAAAGGGGGGGATCTATGGGGCAAAGAGGAAGAGATCTATGGGGCAAAGATGGGGGAATCTATGGGGCAAAGATGGGGGAATCTATGGGGCAAAGGGGGGGATCTATGGGGTAAAGAAAGGGGGATCTGTGGGGTAAAGAGAGGGGGATCTATGGGGCAAAGAGGGGGGATCTATGGGGCAAAGAGGGGGGATCTATGGGGCAAAGGGGGGATCTATGGGGTAAGGAGGGGGGATCTATGGGGCAAAGAGGGGGGATCTATGGGGCAAAGAGAGGGGGATCTATGGGGCAAAGAGGGGGATCTATGGGGCAAAGATGGGGGGACCTATGGGGCAAAGAGGGGAATCTATGGGGCAAAGGGGGGGATCTATGGGGTAAAGAAAGGGGGATCTATGGGGCAAAGGGGGGGATCTATGGGGCAAAGAGGGGGGATCTATGGGGCAAAGAGGAAGATCTATGGGGCAAAGGGGGGGATCTATAGGGCAAAGAGGGGGGATCTATGGGGCAAAGAGGGGGGATCTATGGGGCAAAGGGGGGTATCTATAGGGCAAAGAGGGGGGATCTATGGGGCAAAGAGGGGGGATCTATGGGGCAAAGAGAGGGGGATCTATGGGGCAAAGAGGAAGATCTATGGGGCAAAGAGGATGGGATCTATGGGGCAAAGAGGGGGGATCTATAGGGCAAAGATGGGGGGATCTATGGGGCAAAGATGGGGAATCTATGGGGCAAAGAGGGGGATCTATAGGGCAAAGAGGGGGATCTATGGGGCAAAGTGGGGATCTATGGGGCAAAGAGGAAGAGATCTATGGGGCAAAGATGGGGGAATCTATAGGGCAAAGAGGGGGGATCTATGGGGCAAAGAGGGGGGATATATGGGGCAAAGGGGGGGATCTATGGGGCAAAGAGAGGGGGATCTATGGGGCAAAGGGGGGGGGATCTATGGGCCAAATAAGGGGGATCTATAGGGCAAAGAGAGGAAGATCTATGGGGCAAAGTGGGGGATCTATGGGGCAAAGAGGGTGGTCTATAGGGCAAAGAGAGGGGGATCTATGGGGCAAAGTGGGGATCTATGGGGCAGGAGATGCTGTTGTGCCCCCCAACCCCATTCCCTCCTCTCCCCATAGGGACCCCAAGGAAAACCGGGCTTGCCTGGGATGCCCGGGTCCGACGGTGCCCCCGTGAGTGCCCCCCCCAGCCCCATAGCACCCAATGGGGGTCCCAGCCCCATAGCACCCAATGGGGGTCCCAGCCCCATGGCGGATGTGGGTCCTGAGCCCCCCATTGCTCCCGGCAGGGCCACCCCGGCAAGGAGGGACCCCCAGGCTCCAAAGGGCACCAGGTAAAGATCCCCCCCCCCCAAGCTCCTGCCCCACATCTATGGGGCAGCCCCGTGTCTATGGGGCAATGCCAGCCCCACGCCTATGGGGCAGCCCTATATCTATGGGGCAATGGCAGCCCCACACCTATGGGGCAGCCCCATATCTATGGGGCGATGCCAGCCCCGTGTCTATGGGGCAGGATGATATCTATGGGGCAATGGCAGCCCCACGCCTATGGGGCAGCCCTATATCTATGGGGCAGTGCCAGCCCCGCGTCTATGGGGCAATGCCAGCCCCACGCCTATGGGGCAGCCCCATATCTATGGGGCAATGCCAGCCCCACGTCTATGGGGCAGCCCCATATCTATGGGGCAGTGCCAGCCCCGCATCTATGGGGCAATGCCAGCCCCTCGCCTATGGGGCAGCCCCATATCTATGGGGCGATGCCAGCCCCGTGTCTATGGGGCAGGACGATATCTATGGGGCAATGGCAGCCACACGTCTATGGGGCAGCCCCACACCTAAGGGGCAGCCCTGTATCTATGGGGCGATGCCAGCCCCGTGTCTATGGGGCAGGACGATATCTATGGGGCAATGGCAGCCACACGTCTATGGGGCAGCCCCACACCTAAGGGGCAGCCCTGTATCTATGGGGCGATGCCAGCCCCGTGTCTATGGGGCAGCCCCACACCTAAGGGGCAGCCCTGTATCTATGGGGCAATGCCAGCCACACGTCTATGGGGCAGCCCCACACCTATGGGGCAGCCCTATACCTATGGGGCAATGCCAGCCCCGTGTCTATGGGGCAGGACGATATCTATGGGGCAATGCCAGCCCCGTGTCTATGGGGCAGGACGATATCTATGGGGCAATGGCAGCCCCACGTCTATGGGGCAGCCCCATATCTATGGGGCAATGCCAGCCCCACATCTATGGGGCAGCCCCACACCTAAGGGGCAGCCCCACACCTACGGGGCAGCCTCACACCTCTGGCGCACCCCCAGCCCCACATCTATGGGGCAGCCCCACATCTATGGGGGGTTTCCAACCTCCTCCTTGCTCCATAGGGTCCTTCAGGTCCTCAAGGTCCCATTGGCTACCCGGGGTCACGTGGTGTCAAGGTAAGAGCTGGGCTTGTGGGGCAGTTATGGGTCGAAACCAGGTGGATTTGGGACTTGTGGGTCACGCCGGGGTCTCCATAGGGGGCAGACGGCATCCGAGGCCTCAAAGGACACAAGGGAGAGAAGGTGGGTCCCATCCCTGCCCCATAGCGCCCCATAGCGCCCCATAGATGGGGCGCATTGGTGGTCCCCATCACCCCATAGATGGTCCCTATCACCCCATAGGTGGTTCCCATCACCCCATAGATGGTCCCCATCGCCCCATAGCTGGTCCCCATCACCCCATAGATGGTCCCCATCACCCCATAGATGGCACCCATCACCCCATAAGTGTCCCCCATCACCCCATAGATGGTCCCCATCACCCCATAAGTGTCCCCCATCACCCCATAAGTGTCCCCCATCACCCCATAGATGGTCCCCATCACCCCATAGATGACCCCCATCACCCCATAGCTGGTCCCCATCACCCCATATGTGGTCCCCATCACCCCATAGATGGTCCCCATCACCCCATAGATGGTTCCCATCACCCCATAGATGGCACCCATCACCCCATAGGTGGTCCCCATCACCCCATAGGTGGCCCCCATCACCCCATAGATGGCACCCATCACCCCATAGATGGCCCCCATCACCCCATAGGTGGCCCCCATCACCCCATAGATGGTCGCCATCACCCCATAGATGGCACCCATCACCCCATAGATGACCCCCATCACCCCATAGATGGCACCCATCACCCCATAGATGGTCTCCATCACCCCATAGCTGACCCCCATCACCCCATAGATAGCACCCATCACCCCATAGCTGGTCCCTATCACCCCATAGCTGTACCCCATCACCCCATAGCTGACCCCCATCACCCCATAGATGGCACCCATCACCCCATAGGTGGTACCCATCACCCCATAGCTGGTCCCCATCACCCCATAGCTGGTCCCCATCACCCCATAGATGGCCCCCATCACCCCATAGCTGGTCCCCATCACCCCATAGATGACCCCCATCACCCCATAGCTGGTCCCCATCACCCCATAGATGGTCCCCATCACCCCATAAGTGTCCCCCATCACCCCATAAGTGGCACCCATCACCCCATAGCTGGTCCCCATCACCCCATAGATGGCCCCCATCACCCCATAGATGGTCCCCATCACCCCATAGATCGCACCCATCACCCCATAGATGACCCCCATCACCCCATAGATGGCACCCATCACCCCATAGGTGGCCCCCATCACCCCATAGATGGCTCCCATCACCCCATAGATGGCACCCATCACCCCATAGATGGTCCCCATCACCCCATAGATGACCCCCATCACCCCATGAGGGCACCCATCACCCCATAGCTGGTTCCCATCACCCCATAGATGGCACCCATCGCCCCATTGGTGGTACCCATCACCCCATAGATGGGACCCATCACCCCATAGCTGGTCCCCATCACCCCATAGATGGCACCCATCACCCCATAGCTGACCCCCATCACCCCATAGATGACCCCCATCACCGCATAGCTGGTCCCCATCACCCCATATGTGGTCCCCATCACCCCATAGATGACCCCCATCACCCCATAGATGACCCCCATCACCCCATAGATGGCACCCATCACCCCATATGTGGTCCCCATCACCCCATAGATGGTCCCTATCACCCCATAGGTGGTTCCCATCACCCCATAGCTGGTCCCCATCACCCCATAGCTGGCCCCCATCACCCCATAGCTGTACCCCATCACCCCATAGGTGGCCCCCATCACCCCATAGATGGCACCCATCACCCCATAGGTGGCCCCCATCACCCCATAGATGGCACCCATCACCCCATAGATGGCACCCATCACCCCATAGGTGGCCCCCATCACCCCATAGATGGTCCCCATCGCCCCATAGATGGCACCCATCACCCCATAGATGACCCCCATCACCCCATAGATGGTCCCCATCACCCCATAGATGACCCCCATCACCCCATAGATGGTCCCCATCACCCCATAGATGACCCCCATCACCCCATAGATGGTCCCCATCACCCCATAGATGACCCCCATCACCCCATAGATGGTCCCCATCACCCCATAGCTGGTCCCCATCACCCCATAGATGGCCCCCATCACCCCATAGGTGGCCCCCATCACCCCATAGATGACCCCCATCACCCCATAGATGGCACCCATCACCCTATAGATGACCCCCATCACCCCATAGATGGCACCCATCACCCCATAGATGGCACCCATCACCCCATAGATGACCCCCATCACCCCATAGATGACCCCCATCACCCCATAGATGACCCCCATCACCCCATAGGTGGCCCCCATCACCCCATAGATGGTCCCCATCACCCCATAGATGACCCCCATCACCCCATAGATGGCACCCATCACCCCATAGCTGGTCCCCATCACCCCATAGATGGTCCCTATCACCCCATAGGTGGTTCCCATCACCCCATAGCTGGTCCCCATCACCCCATAGAAGGCACCCGTCACCCCATAGATGGCACCCATCACCCCATAGATGACCCCCATCACCCCATAGATGGCACCCATCACCCCATAGCTGACCCCCATCACCCCATAGGTGGCCCCCATCACCCCATTGATGGCACCCATCACCCCATAGATGGCACCTATCACCCCATATGTGGTCCCCATCACCCCATAGATGACCCACATCACCCCATAGCTGACCCCCATCACCCCATAGCTGACCCCCATCACCCCCATCCTCATCCTCTCCCATAGGGCGAAGAAGGCTTCCCCGGCTTCAAAGGCGACATGGGGGTCAAAGGAGACCGCGTAAGTCTATGGGGCTGTGCCCCATAGGGCCTGCCCCACACCACCCCCCCCCACCCCCTAACCTTTAACCTCTGCCCCACACATAGGGGGAAGTCGGGGTTCCTGGATCTAGGGGGGAAGACGGCCCTGAAGGCCCCAAAGGCCGCACGGGCCCCATTGGCGACCCCGGCCCCATAGGGCTTAGTGGGGAGAAGGTGAGAGTTGGCACTTATGGGTCAGAACCCAGCCCCATAGATGCTCCCCCCCCCCCCCATAACAACTCCTTCTCCCCACATCCTATAGGGAAAACTGGGGGTTCCAGGCCTCCCCGGTTACCCAGGGCGACAAGGTGCAAAGGTGAGTGATGGAGCTGCCCCCCAACCTGCCCCATAGATCCTCATTGTGCCCCATATATCATCCCCCCCCCCAACCTCGGACCCACATCTCCCCCCGTGCATCCATAGGGATCGCAGGGTTTCCCAGGCTTCCCAGGGAGCAACGGCGAGAAGGGGGCGCGGGTGAGTGAGCCCCATAGCGGGCGTCCTGCCCCATAGCGCCCCATAAGTGGGGCGCGACCCCCAACTGCTTCTGTGTCTCCTATAGGGTCTAGCGGGGAAATCGGGGCCAAGGGGGGAACGGGGCCCCACGGTGAGTATATGGGGATGGGGGGGGGGGGGATGATGTGCTATGGGGTGGCCCCATAGATCTATGGGGCGGGGGATGGAGCCATGGACCTTCACCCATCCAAGGGGCCAAGGGGGCAGCGAGGACCACGAGGAGCCACAGGGAAGGCAGGGGCCAAGGTCAGTTGTGGGGCAGGATGTGGGGCTATGGGGTGGGATGTGGGGCTATGGGGTGGGATGTGGGGCTATGGGGTGGGATTGGGGCTATGGGGTGGGATGTGGGTTATGGGTCAGGCTATGGGGCTATGGGGTGGGATTGGGGCTATGGGGTGGGATGTGGGGCTATGGGGTGGGATGTGGGCTATGGGGTGGGATTGGGGCTATGGGGTGGGATATGGGGCTATGGGGTGGGATGTGGGGCTATGGGGTGGGATGTGGGGCTATGGGGTGGGATTGGGGCTATGGGGTGGGATGTGGGGCTATGGGGTGGGATGTGGGGTTATGGGGTGGGATGTGGGCTATGGGGTGGATTTGGGCTATGGGGTGGGATGTGGGGCTATGGGGTGGGATTGGGGCTATGGGGTGGGATGTGGGGCTGTGGGGTGGGATTGGGGCTATGGGGTGGGATTGGGGCTATGGGGTGGGATGTGGGGCTATGGGTGGGATTGGGGCTATGGGGTGGGATGTGGGGCTATGGGGTGGGATGTGGGGCTATGGGGTGGGCTATGGGCTATGGGGTGTGCTATGGGGCTATGGGTCAGGCTATGGGGCTATGGGGTGGGATGTGGGGCTATGGGGTGGGATGTGGGGCTATGGGGTGGGATTGGGGCTATGGGGTGGGATTGGGGCTATGGGGTGGGATGTGGGGCTATGGGGTGGGATTGGGGCTATGGGGTGGGATATGGGGCTATGGGGTGGGATGGGGGCTATGGGGTGGGATGTGGGGCTATGGGGTGGGATTGGGGCTATGGGGTGGGATATGGGGCTATGGGGTGGGATGTGGGGCTGTGGGGTGGGATTGGGGCTATGGGGTGGGATTGGGGCTATGGGGCGGGATGTGGGCTATGGGGTGGGCTATGGGCTATGGGTCAGGCTATGGGGCTATGGGGTGGGATGTGGGGCTGTGGGGTGGGATTGGGGCTATGGGGTGGGATTGGGGCTATGGGGTGGGATGTGGGGCTGTGGGGTGGGATGTGGGGCTATGGGGTGGGATTGGGGCTATGGGGTGGGATGTGGGCTATGGGGTGGGCTATGGGCTATGGGTCAGGCTATGGGGCTATGGAGTGGGCTATTGGGCCATGGGATGCGCTATGGGGCTATGCATCAGCCTATGGGGCTATGGGTCAGGCTATGGGGATATGGGGTGGGATATGGGGCTATGGGGTGTGATGTGGGGCTGTGGGGTGGGATGTGGGGCTATGGGGTGGGATGTGGGGCTATGGGGAGGGATGTGGGGCTATGGGGTGGGATTGGGGCTATGGGGTGGGCTATGGGGCTATGGGTCAGGCTATGGGGCTATGGGGTGGGATGTGGGGCTTTGGGGTGGGATGTGGGGTTATGGGGTGGGTTTGGGGCTATGGGGTGGGATTGGGGCTATGGGGTGGGATGTGGGGTTATGGGGTGGGTTTGGGGCTATGGGGTGTGATTGGGGCTATGGGGTGGGATGTGGGGCTATGGGGTGGGATTGGGGCTATGGGGTGGGATGTGGGGCTATGGGGTGGGATATGGGGCTATGGGGTGGGATGTGGGGCTATGGGGTGGGATGTGGGGCTATGGGGTGGGCTATGGGCTATGGGGTGTGCTATGGGGCTATGGGTCAGGCTATGGGGCTATGGGGTGGGATGTGGGGCTGTGGGGTGGGATTGGGGCTATGGGGTGGAATTGGAGCTATGGGGTGGTATATGGGGCTATGGGGTGGGATGTGGGGTTATGGGGTGGGATATGGGGCTATGGGGTGGGATTGGGGCTATGGGGTGGGATTGGAGCTATGGGGTGGGATGTGGGGCTATGGGGTGGGATGTGGACTATGGGTCAGGCTATGGGGCTATGGGGTGAGATGTGGGCTATGGGGTGGGATGTGGGCTGTGGGGTGGGATTGGGGCGATGGGGTGGGATTGGGGCTATGGGGTGGGATTGGGGCTATGGGGTGGGATATGGGGCTATGGGGTGGGATGTGGGGCTGTGGGGTGGGATTGGGGCTATGGGGTGGGATTGGAGCTATGGGGTGGGATGTGGGGCTATGGGGTGGGATGTGGGGTTATGGGGTGGGATGTGGACTATGGGTCAGGCTATGGGGCTATGGGTCAGGCTATGGGTCAGGCTATGGGGTGTGCTACGCTATGGGGCCTCCAACCCTCTCCTTTACCCCCCATTAGGGTACCTCCGGCAGCGATGGGCCCCACGGCCCCATAGGAGAGCGGGTAAGGGGGGGGGGTCCGAGCTCCATGTGGGCGCTATGGGGCAGGGGGACCCCCCCCTCCTCACCCCATTGCACCCCATTTAGGGCCTGCCAGGACCTCAAGGACCCAACGGCTTCCCTGGCCCCAAAGGGCCCCCTGTAAGTAATGGGGGCCCCAATGGTTCCCTATGGGGCGCCCCACACGTGGGGGTCCCCGATGCTCCGCTATGGGGTGCCCCACACATGGGGGTCCCCAGTGGTCCCCTATGGGGCGCCCCACATGTGGGGGTCCCCGATGGTCCGCTATGGGGTGCCCCACACATGGGGGTCCCCAGTGGTCCCCTATGGGGCGCCCCACATGTGGGGGTCCCTGATGCTCCACTATGGGGTGCCCCACATATGGGGGTCCCCAGTGGTCCCCTATGAGGCACCCCACATGTGGGGGTCCCCCATGCTCTGCTATGGGGCGCCCCACACATGGGAACTCAAATGCTCTGCTATGGGGTGCCCCACATGTGGGGGTCCCCAATGCTTTGCTATGGGGCGCCCCACACATGGGGGTCCTCAAGGCTCTGCTATGGGGTGCCCCACACATGGGGGTCCCCAATGCTTTGTTATGGGGTGCCCCACACATGGGGGTCCCCAATGCTCTGCTATGGGGTGCCCCACACATGGGGGTCCCCAATGCTTTGCTATGGGGTGCCCCACACATGGGGGTCCCCAGTGCTGTGCCATGGGGCGCCCCACACATGGGGGTCCTCAAGGCTCTGCTATGGGGTGCCCCACACATGGGGGTCCCCGATGCTCTGCTATGGGGTGCCCCACATGTGTTGGTCCCCAGTGCTCTGCTATGGGGTGCCCCACACATGGGGGTCCCCAATGCTTTGCTATGGGGTGCCCCACACATGGGGGTCCCCAGTGCTGTGCCATGGGGCGCCCCACACATGGGGGTCCCCAATGCTTTGCTATGGGGTGCCCCACACATGGGGCCTCAAATGCTCTGCTATGGGGTGCCCCACACATGGGGGTCCCCAATGCTCTTCTATGGGGTGCCCCACACATGGGGGTCCCCAATGCTCTTCTATGGGGTGCCCCACACATGGGTGTCCCCAATGCTCTTCTATGGGGCGCCCCACACGTGGGGGTCCCCAATGCTCTTCTATGGGGTGCCCCACATGTGGAGGACCCCAATGCTCTTCTATGGGGTGCCCCACACATGGGTGTCCCCAATGCTCTGCTATGGGGTGCCCCACACATGGGGGTCCCCAATGCTGTGCTATGGGGTGCCCACACATGGGGGTCCCCGATGCTCTGCTATGGGGCGCCCCACACATGGGGGTCCCTGATGCTCCACTATGGGGTGCCCCACACATGGGGGTCCCCAGTGGTCCCCTATGGGGCGCCCCACATGTGGGGGTCCCCAATGCTCTGCTATGGGGCACCCCACACATGAGGATCCCCAGTGCTCTGCTATGGGGTGCCCAACACATGGGGGTCCCCAATGCTCTGCTATGGGGTGCCCCACATGTGGAGGACCCCAATGCTCTTCTATGGGGCGCCCCACACATGGGGGTCCCCACGGTGCCACCTCCTCCCCATAGGGCCCCCCCGGCAAGGACGGGCTCCCCGGGCACCCAGGACAGCGAGGGGAAGGGGTGAGCGGCTTAATGAGGGTTAATGAGGGGTTAATGAGGGGTTAATGAGGGGTTAATGAGGGGTTAATTAAGGGTTAATTAGGGGTTAATGAGGGGTTAATGAGGGGTTAATTAAGGGTTAATTAGGGGTTAATGAGGGGTTAATTAGGGGTTAATTAGGGGGCAATGAGGGTTAATTAAGGGTTAATTATGGGTTAATGAGGGGTTAATTAAGGGTTAATTAGGGGTTAATTGGGGGTTAATGAGGGTTAATTAGGGGTTAATTAGGGGGTAATGAGGGTTAATGAAGGGTTAATGAGGGGTTAATGAGGGTTAATGAGGGGTTAATTGGGGGTTAATGGGGGTTAATTAGGGGTCATGAGGGTTAATTAAGGGTTAATGAGGGGTTAATTAAGGGTTAACGGGGGGCAATGAGGGGTTAATCAGGGGTTAATTAAGGGTTAATGAGGCGTTAATTAAGGGTTAATGAGGGGTTAATTAAGGGTTAATGAGGGGTCAACTAAGGGTTAATGAGGGGTAATTAAGGGTTGATGGGTTAATGAGGGGTTAAGTAGGGGGTTAATGAGGGGTTAATGGGGTGTTAATTAGGGGTTAATGAAGGGTTAATGAGGGGGTAATGAGGATCAATTGAGGGTTAATGAGGGGGTAATGAGTGGTTAATTAAGGGTTAATTATGGGTTAATGAGGGGTTAATTAAGGGTTAATGAAGGGTTAATTAACGGTTAATCAGGGGTTAATTAGGGGTTCATTAAGGGTTAGTTAAGGGTTAATAAGGGGTTAATTACCCGTTAATGAGGGGGTAATTAAGGGTTGATGGGGTTAACGGGGGTTAAGTAGGGGGTAATGATGGGGTTAATGAGTTGTTAATTAGGGGTTAATGAAGGGTTAATGAGGGGGTAATGAATGGGTAATGAGGGGTTAATGAACCGGTAATGAGGGGGGAATGAATGGGTAATGAATGGGTAATGTGGGATTAATTAGGGTTAATGAGGGGTTAATGGGGGTAATGACGGGTTAATGAGGGGTTAATGGGGGTTAATGAGGGGGTAATGAGGGGTTAATGAAGGGTTAATGAGGGGTTAATGAGGGGGTAATAAATGGGTAATGAGGGGTTAATGAGTGGGGTAATGAGGGATTAATTAGGGGTTAATGGGGGTAATGACGGGGTAATTGAGGGTTAATGAGGGGGTAATGAGGGGTTAATAAAGGGTTAATGACGGGTTAATGAGGGGTTAATTAAGTGTTAATGAGGGGAAATGAAGAGTTAAGTAGCGGTTAATTAGGGTTAAGGAGGGGGTAATGAGGGGTTAATTAGGGGTTAATGAGGGTTTCATTACGGGTTAATTAGATGCTAATTAGGTGTTACTTACAGGCTAATTACGTTTTAATTACGGGTTAATTACTGGTTAATTGCCGGTTACTTATGGATAAACTCTCTGTTAATTACGGGTTCTTTATGGGTTAAATAAGGGTTAATTGAGGATTCATTAAGGGTTAATTACGGGATAATTGCAGGTTAATTGCGGGTTAATTATGGGTTCATTAAGGGTTAATTATGTTTTTATTACGTGTTAATTAGGGCTTAATTGCGGGTTAATTTATGGGTTAATCACGGGATTATTACAGGTTAATTGCGGGTTAATTACCGGGTAAATACGTGTTAATTATGGGTTAATTATGGGTGAATTATGGCTTAATTATGGGATAATTTCGGGCTAATTATGGGATAATTACAGGTTAATTGTGTGTGAATTACCGGTTAATTACGGGTTAATTACGAGTTACTTAAGGGTTAATTCCATGTTAATTAGGGGTTAATTAGGGGATAATTACAGGTTAATTATGGGATAATTAACGGTTACTTACGCATACATTAAGTGTTACTTATGGGTAATTAGGGGTTAATTATGGTTTCCTAGGGGTTGATTGCGGGTTAATTACGTGTTAATTACGGGTTAATTATATGTTAATCAAGGGGTAATGACGCGTTAATTACATATTAATTATATGTTAATGAATGGGTAATCCCATGTTAATTACCTGTTAATTACGGGTTCATCCCTCACTCCTGGTCCCTCCCCCCCCTCTTTCCATAGGGATTCCAAGGGAAAACCGGGCCCCCGGGACCCCCGGGCGTCGTCGGCCCCCCGTGAGCGCCCCCCATAGAGCCCCATTGAACCCCATTGAGCCCCATTGAGCCCCATAGAGCCCCATTGAACCCCATTGAACCCCATTGAACCCCATTGAACCCCATTGAACCCCATTGATCCCCATTGAACCCCATTGAACCCCATAGAGCCCCATAGAGCCCCATTGAACCCCATTGAACCCCATTGAACCCCATTGAACCCCATTGATCCCCATTGAACCCCATTGAACCCCATAGAGCCCCATAGAGCCCCATTGAACCCCATTGAGCCCATTGAGCCCCATTGAGCCCCATAGAGCCCCATAGAGCCCCATTGAACCCCATAGAGCCCCATAGAACCCCATTGAGCCCCATTGAGCCCCATAGAGCCCCATAGAGCCCCATAGAGCCCCATTGAACCCCATTGAGCCCCATTGAGCCCCATTGAACCCCATTGACTCCCATTGAACCCCATTGATCCCCATTGAACCCCATTGACCCCCATAGAGCCCCATTGACCCCCATTGACTCCCATTGAACCCCATTGAGCCCCATTGAGCCCCATTGACCCCATAGAGCCCCATTGAACCCCATTGAGCCCCATTGAGCCCCATTGACCCCCATAGAGCCCCATTGACCCCCATTGACTCCCATTGAACCTTATTGATCCCCATTGAACCCCGTTGACCCCCATTGACTCCCATTGACCCCCATTGAGCCCCATTGAGCCCCATTGATCCCCATTGACTCCCATTGATCCCCATTGACACCCATTGCCTCCCATTGACCCCCATTGCCCCCCATTGCCTCCCATTGACCCCCATTAAGCCCCATTGACCCCCATTGACCCCCATTGAGCCCTATTGACCCACGTTGACCCCCATTGATCCCCATTGAGCCCCATTGAGCCCCATTGACCCCTATTGAGCCCCATTGATCCCCATTGCCCCGGATTGCCCCCCATTGCCTCCCAGTGCCCCCATTGACCCCATTCACCCCCATTCACCCCCATTGACCCCATTGCCTCCCATTGACCCCCATTGCCCCCCATAGAGCCCCATAGACCCCATTGCACCCCATTGATCCCCATTGACACCCATTGACTCCCATTGACCCCCATTGATCCCCGTTGACACCCATTGCCTCCCATTGATCCCCATTGCCTCCCATTGCCCCCCATTGCCCCCCATTGACCCCCATTGACCCCATTCACCCCCATTGAGCCCCATTGCCCCCATTGACTCCCATTGATCCCCATTGACACCCATTGACTCCCATTGACCCCATTGTCCCCCATTGCCCCCCATTGCCCCCCATTGCCCCCCATTGATCCCCATTGCCCCCCATTGACTCCCATTGACCCCCATTGCCTCCCATTGACCCCCATTGACCCCCATTGCCCCCCATTGACCCCCATTGCCTCCCATTGCCCCCATTGCCCCCCATTGACCCCCATTGCCTCCCATTGACCCCCATTGCCTCCCATTGCCCCATTGCCCCCATTGACCCCCATTGCCCCCCATTGATCCCCATTGACCCCATTGCCCCCCATTGACCCCCATTGACCCCCATTGACCCCCATTGACTCCCATTGACCCCCATTGCCTCCCATTGCCCCCATTGCCCCCCATTGACCCCCATTGACTCCCATTGCCCCCCATTGACTCCCATTGACTCCCATTGACCCCCATTGACCCCCATTGACCCCCATTGACTCCCATTGACCCCCATTGCCCCCATTGCCCCCCATTGACCCCCATTGACTCCCATTGCCCCCCATTGACTCCCATTGACTCCCATTGACCCCCATTGATCCCCATTGACCCCCATTGACTCCCATTGACTCCCATTGACCCCCATTGACCCCATTGACTCCCATTGCCCCCCATTGCCCCCCATTGCCCCCCAGGGCTCCGCCGGCGAATCCGGCCCTATGGGAGAGCGCGGTCATCCCGGTCCTCCCGGTCCCCCCGGCGAGCAGGGGCTTCCGGGGCCCTCCGGCAAGGACGGCCCCAAGGTGAGGCCTCCCCATTGGTTGAATCCTTTGGGATTGATTTAAGCCCCGCCCCCCCCCCCCTTCATCCAATCCCCTTCCTCTGCCCCATAGGGAGATCCCGGCCCCACCGGGCCCCCCGGCAAGGATGGACCCGCGGGATTGAGGGGGTTCCCTGGCGAGCGCGGCCTGCCCGGCACGGCGGTGAGTGGAGCCCTATGGAGCCCTATGGAGCCCTATGGAGCCCTATGGAGCCCTATGGGAGGCCCCATAGATCCCTATGGAGGAACCATGGATCCCTATGGAGCCCTATGGAGCCCTATGGAGCCCTATGGAGCCCTATGGATCCCTATGGAGCCCTATGGGAGGCCCCATAGAGCCCTATGGAGCCCTATGGAGCCCTATGGAGCCCTATGGATCCCTATGGAGCCCTATGGAGCCCTATGGGAGGCCCATAGAGCCCTATGGAGCCCTATGGAGCCCTATGGAGCCCTATGGGAGGCCCCATAGAGCCCTATGGAGCCCTATGGATCCCTATGGAGCCCTATGGAGCCCTATGGAGCCCTATGGGAGGCCCCATAGAGCCCTATGGAGCCCTATGGAGCCCTATGGGAGGCCCCATAGAGCCCTATGGAGCCCTATGGAGCCCTATGGGAGGCCCCATGGATCCCTATGGAGCCCTATGGGAAGCCCCATAGATCTCTATAGATCACTATGGTTCCCTTTGGATCCCTATGGAGCCCTATGGAGCCCTATGGGAGGCCCCATAGAGCCCTATGGAGCCCTATGGATTCCCCATGGATCCCTATGGGAGGCCTCATAGATCCCTATGGATCCCTATGGATCCCTATGGGAGGCCACATGGGAGCCCTATGGATCCCTATGGAATTCCCAATGGATCCCCATGGAATTCCCAATGGATCCCTATGGAAATCCCCATGGATCCCTATGGAATTCCCAATGGATCCCCATGGAAATCCCCATGGATCCCTATGGAATTCCCAATGGATCCCCATGGAATTCCCAATGGATCCCTATGGAAATCCCCATGGATCCCTATGGAATTCCCAATGGATCCCCATGGAATTCCCAATGGATCCCCATGGAAATCCCCATGGATCCCTATGGAATTCCCAATGGATCCCCATGGAATTCCCAATGGATCCCCATGGAATTCCCAATGGATCCCTATGGAAATCCCCATGGATCCCTATGGAATTCCCAATGGATCCCCATGGAAATCCCCATGGATCCCTATGAAATTCCCAATGGATCCCCATGGAATTCCCAATGGATCCCTATGGAATTCCCCATGGATCCCCATGGAATTCCCCATGGATCCCTATGGAATTCCCAATGGATCCCCATGGATCCCCAATGGATCCCCATGGAATTCCCAATGGATCCCTATGGAATTCCCCATGGATCCCCATGGATTCCCCATGGATCCCTATGGAATTCCCCATGGATCCCTATGGAATTCCCAATGGATCCCTATGGAATTCCCTTATGGAATTCCCAATGGATCCCTATGGAATTCCCAATGGATCCCCATGGAATTCCCAATGGATCCCTATGGGATTCCCCATGGATCCCTATGGAATTCCCAATGGATCCCTATGGAATTCCCAATGGATCCCCATGGAATTCCCCAATGGATCCCTATGGAATTCCCCATGGATCCCCATGGAATTCCCAATGGATCCCTATGGAATTCCCCATGGATCCCCATGATTCCAATGGATTCCCAATGGATCCTTATGGAATTCCCAATGGATCCCCATGGAATTCTCCATGGATCCCCATGGGAATTCCCATGGATCCCCATGGAATTCCCAATGGATCCCCATGGATTCCCAATGGATCCCCATGGATTCCCAATGGATCCCTATGGAATTCCCCATGGGTCCCCATGGGATTCCCAATGGATCCCCATGGAATTCCCCATGGATCCCCATGGATTCCCAATGGATCCCTATGGATTCCCAATGGATCCCTATGGAATTCCCCATGGATCCCCATGGAATTCCCAATGGATCCCTATGGAATTCCCAATGGATCCCCATGGAATTCCCAATGGATCCCTATGGAATTCCCCATGGATCCCTATGGATTCCCAATGGATCCCTATGGAATTCCCCATGGATCCCTATTGGAATTCCCAATGGATCCCTATGGAATTCCCCATGGATCCCCATGGATTCCCAATGGATCCCTATGGATTCCCAATGGATCCCTATGGAATTCCCCATGGATCCCCATGGAATTCCCCATGGATCCCTATGGAATTCCCAATGGATCCCCATGGAATTCCCCATGGATCCCTATGGAATTCCCCATGGATCCCTATGGAATTCCCAATGGATCCCCATGGATTCCCAATGGATCCCTATGGAATTCCCAATGGATCCCCGTGGATTCCCCATGGATCCCCATGGAATTCCCAATGGATCCCCATGGATTCCCAATGGATCCCTATGGAATTCCCAATGGATCCCTATGGAATTCCCAATGGATCCCCATGGATTCCCAATGGATCCCTATGGAATTCCCAATGGATCCCCGTGGATTCCCCATGGATCCCCATGGAATTCCCAATGGATCCCCATGGATTCCCAATGGATCCCTATGGAATTCCCAATGGATCCCTATGGAATCACCCCACTGAGCACCCTGCTTCCTCCTATAGGGCGGCCCAGGGCTGAAGGGGAACGAGGGACCCACCGGCCCCCCAGGACCTGCTGTGAGTATCCCCATAGGTCTCTATGGGTCACGGTGCCCCACGGCTCTCTATGGGTCACGGAGCCCCATGGCTCTCTATGGGTCACGGTGCCCCATGGCTCTCTATGGGTCACGGAGCCCCATGGCTCTCTATGGGTCACGGTGCCCCATGGCTCTCTATGGGTCACGGTGCCCCATGGCCTTCTATGGGTCACGGAGCCCCATGGCTCTCTATGGGTCACGGTGCCCCATGGCTCTCTATGGGTCACGGTGCCCCATGGCCTTCTATGGGTCACGGAGCCCCATGGCTCTCTATGGGTCACGGTGCCCCATGGCCTTCTATGGGTCACGGTGCCCCACGGCTCTCTATGGGTCACGGTGCCCCATGGCTCTCTATGGGTCACGGTGCCCCATGGCTCTCTATGGGTCACGGTGCCCCATGGCCTTCTATGGGTCACGGTGCCCCATGGCTCTCTATGGGTCACGGTGCCCCATGGCCTTCTATGGGTCACGGAGCCCCATGGCTCTCTATGGGTCACGGTGCCCCATGGCTCTCTATGGGTCACGGTGCCCCACGGCTCTCTATGGGTCACGGTGCCCCATGGCTCTCTATGGGTCACGGAGCCCCATGGCTCTCTATGGGTCACGGTGCCCCATGGCCTTCTATGGGTCACGGAGCCCCATGGCTCTCTATGGGTCACTGCCCCATATCCCTGCCCCCCAGGGCTCTCCAGGGGAGCGGGGGGCTCCAGGACAAGGGGGTCCCGTTGGCCCCCCAGGGAGACCCGGACCCCAGGGACCCCCAGGTCCAGCCGGAGAGAAGGGAATTGCGGTGGGTACCCCATTGATCATCATTGACCCCCATTGAACCCCATTGATCATCATTGAGCCCCATTGAACCCCATTGATCATCATTGAGCCCCATTGATCCCCATTGATCATCATTGATCCCCATTGATCCCCATTGAACCCCATTGATCCCCATTGATCATCATTGATCCCCATTGATCCCCATTGAACCCCATTGAACCCCATTGATCATCATTGAGCCCCATTGAACCCCATTGATCATCATTGAGCCCCATTGAACCCCATTGATCCCCATTGAACCCCATTGATCATCATTGACCCCCATTGAACCCCATTGATCATCATTGAGCCCCATTGATCACCATAGAGCCCCATTGATCCCCATTGAACCCTATTGATCCCCATTGATCCCCATTGATCATCATTGACCCCCATTGAACCCCATTGATCCCCATTGAACCCCATTGATCATCATTGATCCCCATTGATCCCCATTGAACCCCATTGAACCCCATTGATCCCCATTGATCCCCATTGATCCCCATTGATCATCATTGATCATCATTGAGCCCCATTGATCCCCATTGATCATCATTGATCATCATTGAACCCCATTGAGCCCCATTGAGCCCCATTGATCCCCATTGATCCCCATTGAACCCCATTGAGCCCCATTGAGCCCCATTGATCCCCATTGCCCCCCATTGATCATCATTGAGCCCCATTGATCCCCATTGAACCCCATTGAACCCCATTGATCCCCATTGAGCCCCATTGAGCCCCATTGATACCGATTGAACCCCATTGATCCCCATTGAGCCCCATTGATCCCCATTGAACCCCATTGAGCCCCATTGATCCCCATTGATCCCCATTGAACCCCATTGATCCCCATTGAGACCCATTGAACCCCATTGATCCCCATTGCCCCCCATTGACCCCATTGACCCCATTGCACCCCATTGACCCCATTGCACCCCATTGACCCCATTGCACCCCATTGAACCCCATTGAACCCCATTGAACCCCATTGACCCCATTGCACCCCATTGACCCCATTGAACCCCATTGAACCCCATTGACCCCATTGCACCCCATTGACCCCATTGAACCCCATTGAACCCCATTGATCCCCATTGACCCCATTGCACCCCATTGACCCCATTGAACCCCATTGAACCCCATTGAACCCCATCTCCCCATAGGGGGACAAGGGCTCCGTGGGTCCTGCTGGCCGCGATGGGGTGCAGGGACCTGTGGGGCTCCCAGGTCCCGCCGGGCCCCCCGGTGGGGCAGGAGAGGATGGAGACAAGGTGAGGACCCCCCCCCCCATCCTGCCCCATAGCGACCCATTGACTCCCATTGACTCCCATTGACCCCATTGACCCCATTGACTCCCATTGACTCCCATTGACTCCCATTGACCCCATTGACCCCCATTGACCCCCATTGACTCCCATTGACTCCCATTGACCCCCATTGCCCCCCATTTCCCCATTGCCCCCATTGCCCCACTGCCCCATTGACCCCCATTGCCCCATTGCCCCCCATTGCCCCATTGCCCCCCATTGCCCCATTGCCCCCCATTGCCCCATTCCCCCCATTGCCCCCCATTGCCCCATTGCCCCATTGCCCCCATTGACCCCCATTTCCCCCCATTGCCCCATTGCCCCCATTGCGCCCCATTGCCCCATTGCCCCCATTGCCCCCATTGCCCCCATTGCCCCCATTGCGCCCCATTGCCCCATTGCCCCATTGAGCCCCATTGCCCCCATTACCCCCCATTGCCCCATTGCCCCCCATTGCTGCCCCATGGATTTGAGCATCTTCTCCCCCCAACCACAGGGTGAGGTCGGGGATCCCGGCTCCAAGGGGACCAAAGGCACCAAAGGAGAGCACGTGAGTGGCCCCATAGCCCTCTATGGGTCACTGCCGCCCCATAGCCCTCTATGGGTCACTGCCGCCCCATAGCCCTCTATGGGTCACTGCCGCCCCATAGCCCTCTATGGGTCATTGCCACCCCATAGCCCTCTATGGGTCACTGCTGTCCCATAGCCCTCTATGGGTCACTGCTGTCCCATAGCCCTCTATGGGTCTATCCTGCCCCATAGCCCTCTATGGGTCAATTCTGCCCCATAGCCCTCTATGGGTCACTGCTGCCCCATAGCCCTCTATGGGTCACTGCTGCCCCATTGCTCTCTATGGGTCACTGCCGCCCCATAGCCCTCTATGGGTCACTGCTGCCCCATCACCCTCTATGGGTCAATTCTGCCCCATAGCCCTCTATGGGTCACTGCTGCCCCATAGCCTCTATGGGTCAATCCTGCCCCATAGCCCTCTATGGGTCACTGCTGCCCCATAGCCCTCTATGGGTCAATCCTGCCCCATAGCCCTCTATGGGTCACTGCCGCCCCATAGCCCTCTATGGGTCATTGCCACCCCATAGCCCTCTATGGGTCACTGCTGTCCCATAGCCCTCTATGGGTCTATCCTGCCCCATAGCCCTCTATGGGTCACTGCTGTCCCATAGCCCTCTATGGGTCTATCCTGCCCCATAGCCCTCTATGGGTCAATTCTGCCCCATAGCCCTCTATGGGTCACTGCTGCCCATAGCCCTCTATGGTCAATCCTGCCCCATAGCCCTCTGTGGGTCACTGCCGCCCCATAGCCCTCTATGGGTCATTGCCGCCCCATAGCCCTCTATGGGTCAATTCTGCCCATAGCCCTCTATGGGTCACTGCCGCCCCATAGCCCCCTCTCTCTCCATAGGGACCCCCGGGCCCTCCTGGACCCATTGGAGCCGTCGGCCAACCCGGAGCAGCCGTGAGCATCCCCCTCTCCCCACGGCGCGGGGCTCCCTATGGGGCACCCTATGGGTCCTATGGGGCAGCCCCATTGTGCCCTATGGGGGCCTGACCCCTTCCTGCCCCATAGGGAGCTGATGGGGAGCCGGGGGCCCGAGGACCTCAGGGCCACTTTGGAGCCAAAGGGGACGAGGGGACGCGGGGCTTCAATGGAGCCCCAGGCCCCATTGGGCTGCAGGTGGGGCCCCATTGACCCATAACCAATCCCATTGCCCCATAGCGTGCCCCATAACCAACCCCATTGCCCCATAACCAATCCCATTGCCCCATAGCGTGCCCCATAACCAACCCCATTGCCCCATAGCGTGCCCCATAACCAACCCCATTGCCCCATAACCAATCCCATTGCCCCATAGCGTGCCCCATAACCAATCCCATCGCCCCATAACCAACCCCATTGCCCCATAGCCAATCCCATTGCCCCATAGCGTGCCCCATAACCAACCCCATTGCCCCATAACCAACCCCATCGCCCCATAGCCAATCCCATTGCCCCATAGCGTGCCCCATAACCAACCCCATTGCCCCATAACCAACCCCATTGCCCCATAACCAATCCCATTGCCCCATAACCAACCCCATTGCCCCATAGCGTGCCCCATAACCAACCCCATTGCCCCATAGTGCCCCCATAACCAATCTTATTGCCCCATAACCAACCCCATTGCCCCATAGCGTGCCCCATAACCAACCCCATTGCCCCATAGCGTGCCCCATAACCAACCCCATTGCCCCATAGCGTGCCCCATAACCAACCCCATTGCCCCATAACCAATCCCATCGCCCCATAACCAATCCCATCGCCCCATAACCAACCCCATTGCCCCATAACCAATCCCATCGCCCCATAACCAACCCCATTGCCCCATAACCAACCCCATTGCCCCATAGCGTGCCCCATAACCAACCCCATTGCCCCATAGTGCCCCCATAACCAATCTTATTGCCCCATAACCAATCCCATTGCCCCATAGCGTGCCCCATAACCAACCCCATTGCCCCATAGCGTGCCCCATAACCAACCCCATTGCCCCATAGCGTGCCCCATAACCAATCCCATCGCCCCATAACCAACACCATTGCCCCATAACCAACCCCATTGCCCCATAACCAATCCCATCGCCCCATAACCAACCCCATTGCCCCATAGCGTGCCCCATAACCAACCCCATTGCCCCATAACCAACCCCATTGCCCCATAACCAACCCCATCGCCCCATAGCGTGCCCCATAACCAACCCCATTGCCCCATAACCAACCCCATTGCCCCATAGCGTGCCCCATAACCAACCCCATTGCCCCATAACCAACCCCATTGCCCCATAACCAATCCCATCGCCCCATAATCAACCCCATTGCCCCATAGCGTGCCCCATAACCAATCCCATTGCCCCATAACCAACCCCATTGCCCCATAACCAACCCCATTGCCCCATAACCAACCCCATTGCCCCATAGCGTGCACCATAACCAATCCCATTGCCCCATAACCAACCCCATTGCCCCATAACCAACCCCATCGCCCCATAGCGTGCCCCATAACCAACCCCATCGCCCCATAACCAACCCCATTGCCCCATAGCGTGCCCCATAACCAACCCCATTGCCCCATAGCGTGCCCCATAACCAACCCCATTGCCCCATAGCGTGCCCCATAACCAACCCCATTGCCCCATAGCGTGCCCCATAACCAACCCCATTGCCCCATAACCAATCCCATCGCCCCATAACCAACCCCATTGCCCCATAACCAATCCCATCGCCCCATAACCAACCCCATTGCCCCATAACCAACCCCATTGCCCCATAGCGTGCCCCATAACCAACCCCATTGCCCCATAGTGCCCCCATAACCAATCTTATTGCCCCATAACCAATCCCATTGCCCCATAGCGTGCCCCATAACCAACCCCATTGCCCCATAGCGTGCCCCATAACCAACCCCATTGCCCCATAGCGTGCCCCATAACCAACCCCATTGCCCCATAACCAATCCCATCGCCCCATAACCAATCCCATCGCCCCATAACCAACCCCATTGCCCCATAACCAATCCCATCGCCCCATAACCAACCCCATTGCCCCATAACCAACCCCATTGCCCCATAGCGTGCCCCATAACCAACCCCATTGCCCCATAGTGCCCCCATAACCAATCTTATTGCCCCATAACCAATCCCATTGCCCCATAGCGTGCCCCATAACCAACCCCATTGCCCCATAGCGTGCCCCATAACCAATCCCATCGCCCCATAACCAACACCATTGCCCCATAACCAACCCCATTGCCCCATAACCAACCCCATTGCCCCATAGCGTGCCCCATAACCAATCCCATCGCCCCATAACCAACACCATTGCCCCATAACCAACCCCATTGCCCCATAACCAATCCCATTGCCCCATAGCGTGCCCCATAACCAACCCCATCGTCCCTTAACCAATCCCATTGCCCCATAGCATGCCCCATAACCAACCCCATCGCCCCATAACCAACCCCATTGCCCCATAACCAATCCCATTGCCCCATAGCGTGCCCCATAACCAACCCCATTGCCCCTTAACCAATCCCATCGCCCCATAACCAACCCCATTGCCCCATAGCGTGCCCCATAACCCATCCCATTGCCCCATAACCAATCCCATTGCCCCATAGCACCCCCCATAACCCATCCCATTGCCCCACAGCGCACCCCACAATCAATCCCATCGCCCCATAGCACCCCACATAACCAAACCCATCGCCCCATAACCAATCCCATTGCCCCATAACCCATCCCATTGCCCCATAACCAACCCCATTGCCCCATAACCAATCCCATTGCCCCATAGCACCCCCCATAAGCCATCCCATTGCCCCACAGCGCACCCCACAATCAATCCCATCGCCCCATAACCAATCCCATCGCCCCATAACCAATCCCATCGCCCCATAGCACCCCACATAACCAAACCCATCGCCCCATAACCAATCTCATTGCCCCATAACCAAACCCATTGCCCCATAACCAATCCCATTGCCCCATAATCAATCCCATCGCCCCATAACCAATCCCATCGCCCCATAGCACCCCACATAACCAATCCCATTGCCCCATAGCACCCCCCATAAGCCATCCCATTGCCCCACAGCGCACCCCACAATCAATCCCATCGCCCCATAACCAATCCCATCGCCCCATAACCAATCCCATCGCCCCATAGCACCCCCCCATAACCCCTCCCTCCACCCCTCTCTGCCCCCCAAGTTGACCCCTTTCCCCCCCCCCCATAGGGGCTGCCGGGTCCTGCTGGTGAGAAGGGGGAGACAGGCGATGTGGGGCCCATGGTGAGTTCCCCCCCCCATCTATGGGTCCCTATGGGGCAGTGCTTGGGGGGCGCGCCCCATAACCAACCCCCCCCCCCCCCCTTTTTGTCTCTCCCCCCACTTTAGGGCCCCCCCGGACCCCCAGGTCCTCGTGGTCCAGCCGGAGCCTCCGGAGCCGATGTGAGCGCCCCAGCCCCACATCCCCATCTATGGGGCGCAATGGGGGGACATGGGGATCCGATGGGATCTTCCCATCCCCTTCTGTTCCATAGGGACCACAGGGAGCGCCGGGGGGCGTCGGGAATGTGGGGCCCCAAGGGGAGAAGGTGAGGAGTGGGGATAGGGATGGGCATGGATATGTGGGGCATGGATATGGGGCTATGGATATGGGGGGTATGGATATGGGGCTATGGATATGGGGCTATGGATATGGGGGGTATGGATATGGGGCTATGGATATGGGGCTATGGATATGGGGGGTATGGATATGGGGCTATGGATATGGGGCTATGGATATGGGGGGTATGGATATGGGGGGTATGGATATGGGGGGTATGGATATGGGGCTATGGATATGGGGGGCATGGATATGGGGCTATGGATATGGGGGGTATGGATATGGGGGGTATGGATATGGGGGGTATGGATATGGGGCTATGGATATGGGGGGTATGGATATGGGGGGTATGGATATGGGGCTATGGATATGGGGGGTATGGATATGGGGCTATGGATATGGGGGGTATGGATATGGGGCTATGGATATGGGGGGTATGGATATGGGGGGTATGGATATGGGGCTATGGATATGGGGGGTATGGATATGGGGCTATGGATATGGGGGGTATGGATATGGGGCTATGGATATGGGGGGTATGGATATGGGGGGTATGGATATGGGGGGTATGGATATGGGGCTATGGATATGGGGGGTATGGATATGGGGGGTATGGATATGGGGCTATGGATATGGGGGGTATGGATATGGGGCTATGGATATGGGGGGTATGGATATGGGGGGTATGGATATGGGGCTATGGATATGGGGGGTATGGATATGGGGCTATGGATATGGGGGGTATGGATATGGGGCTATGGATATGGGGGGTATGGATATGGGGGGTATGGATATGGGGGGTATGGATATGGGGCTATGGATATGGGGGGTATGGATATGGGGGGTATGGATATGGGGCTATGGATATGGGGGGCATGGATATGGGGGGTATGGATATGGGGCTATGGATATGGGGGGTATGGATATGGGGGGTATGGATATGGGGGGTATGGATATGGGGCTATGGATATGGGGGGTATGGATATGGGGCTATGGATATGGGGGGTATGGATATGGGGGGTATGGATATGGGGCTATGGATATGGGGCAATGGATATGGGGGGCATGGATATGGGGCTATGGATATGGGGGGTATGGATATGGGGGGTATGGATATGGGGCTATGGATATGGGGCTATGGATATGGGGGGTATGGATATGGGGGGTATGGATATGGGGCTATGGATATGGGGCTATGGATATGGGGCTATGGATATGGGGGGTATGGATATGGGGGGTATGGATATGGGGCTATGGATATGGGGGGTATGGATATGGGGGGTATGGATATGGGGGGTATGGATATGGGGCTATGGATATGGGGGGTATGGATATGGGGGGTATGGATATGGGGGGCATGGATATGGGGCTATGGATATGGGGCTATGGATATGGGGGGTATGGATATGGGGGGCATGGATATGGGGCTATGGATATGGGGCTATGGATATGGGGGGCATGGATATGGGGGGTATGGATATGGGGGGTATGGATATGGGGCTATGGATATGGGGCTATGGATATGGGGGGTATGGATATGGGGGGCATGGATATGGGGGGCATGGATATGGGGCTATGGATATGGGGGGCATGGATATGGGGCTATGGATATGGGGGGCATGGATATGGGGGGTATGGATATGGGGCTATGGATATGGGGGGTATGGATATGGGGCTATGGATATGGGGGGTATGGATATGGGGCTATGGATATGGGGCTATGGATATGGGGGGTATGGATATGGGGGGTATGGATATGGGGGGCATGGATATGGGGCTATGGATATGGGGGGTATGGATATGGGGCTATGGATATGGGGGGCATGGATATGGGGCTATGGATATGGGGGGTATGGATATGGGGCTATGGATATGGGGCTATGGATATGGGGGGTATGGATATGGGGGGTATGGATATGGGGGGTATGGATATGGGGGGTATGGATATGTGGGGCACGGATATGGGGGGTATGGATATGGGGGGTATGGATATGGGGGGCATGGATATGGGGCTATGGATATGGGGGGCATGGATATGGGGGGTATGGATATGGGGGGCATGGATATGGGGCTATGGATATGGGGCTATGGATATGGGGGGCATGGATATGGGGGGTATGGATATGGGGGGCATGGATATGGGGGGTATGGATATGGGGGGCATGGATATGGGGCTATGGATATGGGGGGTATGGATATGGGGGGCATGGATATGGGGCTATGGATATGGGGGGTATGGATATGGGGGGTATGGATATGGGGCTATGGATATGGGGGGTATGGATATGGGGGGCATGGATATGGGGCTATGGATATGGGGCTATGGATATGGGGGGTATGGATATGGGGGGTATGGATATGGGGCTATGGATATGGGGGGTATGGATATGGGGGGCATGGATATGGGGCTATGGATATGGGGGGTATGGATATGGGGGGTATGGATATGGGGGGTATGGATATGGGGCTATGGATATGGGGCTATGGATATGGGGCTATGGATATGGGGGGTATGGATATGGGGGGTATGGATATGGGGCTATGGATATGGGGGGTATGGATATGGGGGGTATGGATATGGGGCTATGGATATGGGGGGCATGGATATGGGGCTATGGATATGGGGGGCATGGATATGGGGGGTATGGATATGGGGGGTATGGATATGGGGGGTATGGATATGGGGCTATGGATATGGGGGGCATGGATATGGGGCTATGGATATGGGGGGCATGGATATGGGGGGTATGGATATGGGGGGTATGGATATGGGGGGTATGGATATGGGGCTATGGATATGGGGGGCATGGATATGGGGCTATGGATATGGGGGGCATGGATATGGGGGGTATGGATATGGGGGGTATGGATATGGGGCTATGGATATGGGGGGCATGGATATGGGGCTATGGATATGGGGGGCATGGATATGGGGGGTATGGATATGGGGGGTATGGATATGGGGGGTATGGATATGGGGGGCTATGGATAATGATATCCATGGACATTGGGGTTCTATGGGTGATGATACCCATGGATATTGGGGTTCTATGGGTCCCGTTACCCATGGATATTGGGGTTCTATGGGTGATGATACCCATGGATATTGGGGTTCTATGGGTCCCGTTACCCATGGATATTTGGGTTCTATGGGTCCCGGTACCCATGGATATTGGGGTTCTATGGGTCCAGGTACCCATGGACATTGGGGTTCTATGGGTGATGATACCCATGGATATTGGGGTTCTATGGGTCCCGTTACCCATGGATATTGGGGTTCTATGGGTCCTGGTACTCATGGATATTGGGGTTCTATGGGTCCCGTTACCCATGGATATTGGGGTTCTATGGGTCCTGGTACTCATGGATATTGGGGTTCTATGGGTCCCGTTACCCATGGATATTGGGGTTCTATGGGTCCCGTTACCCATGGATATTGGGGTTCTATGGGTGATGATACCCATGGATATTGGGGTTCTATGGGTGATGATACCCATGGATATTGGGGTTCTATGGGTCCCGTTACCCATGGATATTTGGGTTCTATGGGTCCCGGTACCCATGGATATTGGGGTTCTATGGGTCCAGGTACCCATGGACATTGGGGTTCTATGGGTGATGATACCCATGGATATTGGGGTTCTATGGGTCCCGTTACCCATGGATATTGGGGTTCTATGGGTCCTGGTACTCATGGATATTGGGGTTCTATGGGTCCCGTTACCCATGGATATTGGGGTTCTATGGGTCCCGTTACCCATGGACATTGGGGTTCTATGGGTCCCGTTACCCATGGATATTGGGGTTCTATGGGTCCCGTTACCCATGGATATTGGGGTTCTATGGGTCCTGGTACTCATGGATATTGGGGTTCTATGGGTCCCGGTACCCATGGACATTGGGGTTCTATGGGTCCCGGTACCCATGGATATTGGGGTTCTATGGGTCCTGGTACTCATGGATATTGGGGTTCTATGGGTCCCGTTACCCATGGATATTGGGGTTCTATGGGTCCCGTTACCCATGGATATTGGGGTTCTATGGGTCCCCGTACCCATGGACATTGGGGTTCTATGGGTCCCGGTACCCATGGACATTGGGGTTCTATGGGTCCCGTTACCCATGGACATTGGGGTTCTATGGGTGATGATACCCATGGATATTGGAGTTCTATGGGTCCCGTTACCCATGGATATTGGGGTTCTATGGGTCCCGGTACCCATGGATATGGGGTTCTATGGGTCCCAGTACCCATTGATATTGGGGTTCTATGGGTCCCGGTACCCATGGACATTGGGGTTCTATGGGTCCCAGTACCCATTGATATTGGGGTTCTATGGGTCCCGTTACCCATGGACATTGGGGTTCTATGGGTCCCGTTACCCATGGACATTGGGGTTCTATGGGTGATGATACCCATGGATATTGGGGTTCTATGGGTCCCGTTACCCATGGATATTGGAGTTCTATGGGTCCCGTTACCCATGGATATTGGGGTTCTATGGGTCCCGGTACCCATGGATATGGGGTTCTATGGGTCCCAGTACCCATTGATATTGGGGTTCTATGGGTCCCGGTACCCATGGACATTGGGGTTCTATGGGTGATGATACCCATGGATATTGGGGTTCTATGGGTCCCGTTACCCATGGACATTGGGGTTCTATGGGTCCCGTACCCATGGATATTGGGGTTCTATGGGTCCCAGTACCCATTGATATTGGGGTTCTATGGGTCCCGTTACCCATGGATATTTGGGTTCTATGGGTCCCGGTACCCATGGATATTGGGGTTCTATGGGTCCAGGTACCCATGGACATTGGGGTTCTATGGGTCCCGTTACCCATGGATATTGGGGTTCTATGGGTGATGATACCCATGGATATTGGGGTTCTATGGGTCCCAGTACCCATGGATATTGGGGTTCTATGGGTCCCGTTACCCATGGATATTGGGGTTCTATGGGTCCCGTTACCCATGGACATTGGGGTTCTATGGGTGATGATACCCATGGATATTGGGGTTCTATGGGTCCCGGTACCCATGGATATTGGGGTTCTATGGGTCCCGGTACCCATGGATATGGGGTTCTATGGGTCCCGGTACCCATGGACATTGGGGTTCTATGGGTGATGATACCCATGGATATTGGGGTTCTATGGGTCCCGTTACCCATGGATATTGGGGTTCTATGGGTGATGATACCCATGGATATTGGGGTTCTATGGGTCCCGTTACCCATGGATATTGGGGTTCTATGGGTCCCGTTACCCATGGATGTTGGGGTTCTATGGGTCCCAGTACCCATGGACATTGGGGTTCTATGGGTGATGATACCCATGGACATTGGGGTTCTATGGGTCCAGGTACCCATGGACATTGGGGTTCTATGGGTGATGATACCCATGGATATTGGGGTTCTATGGGTCCCGTTACCCATGGATATTGGGGTTCTATGGGTGATGATACCCATGGATATTGGGGTTCTATGGGTGATGATACCCATGGATATTGGGGTTCTATGGGTCCCGTTACCCATGGACATTGGGGTTCTATGGGTCCCGTTACCCATGGATATTGGGGTTCTATGGGTCCCGTTACCCATGGATATTGGGGTTCTATGGGTGATGATACCCATGGATATTGGGGTTCTATGGGTCCTGTTACCCATGGATATTGGGGTTCTATGGGTCCCGTTACCCATGGATATTGGGGTTCTATGGGTCCCGTTACCCATGGATATTGGGGTTCTATGGGTCCTGTTACCCATGGATATTGGGGTTCTATGGGTGATGATACCCATGGATATTGGGGTTCTATGGGTCCCGTTACCCATGGATATTGGGCTTCTATGGGTCCCGGTACCCATGGATATTTGGGTTCTATGGGTCCCGGTACCCATGGACATTGGGGTTCTATGGGTCCCGTTACCCATGGATATTGGGGTTCTATGGGTCCCGTTACCCATGGATATTGGGGTTCTATGGGTCCCGTTACCCATGGATATTGGGGTTCTATGGGTCCTGTTACCCATGGACATTGGGGTTCTATGGGTCCCGGTACCCATGGATATTGGGGTTCTATGGGTCCCGTTACCCATGGACATTGGGGTTCTATGGGTGATGATACCCATGGATATTGGGGTTCTATGGGTCCCGTTACCCATGGATATTGGGGTTCTATGGGTCCCGTTACCCATGGATATTGGGGTTCTATGGGTCCCCGTACCCATGGATATTTGGGTTCTATGGGTCCCAGTACCCATGGATATTGGGGTTCTATGGGTCCCCGTACCCATGGATATTTGGGTTCTATGGGTCCCGGTACCCATGGACATTGGGGTTCTATGGGTGATGATACCCATGGATATTGGAGTTCTATGGGTCCCGTTACCCATGGACATTGGGGTTCTATGGGTGATGATACCCATGGATATTGGGGTTCTATGGGTCCCGTTACCCATGGATATTGGGGTTCTATGGGTCCTGTTACCCATGGACATTGGGGTTCTATGGGTGATGATACCCATGGATATTGGGGTTCTATGGGTCCCGTTACCCATGGATATTGGGGTTCTATGGGTGATGATACCCATGGATATTGGGGTTCTATGGGTCCCGTTACCCATGGATATTGGGGTTCTATGGGTGATGATACCCATGGATATTGGAGTTCTATGGGTCCCGTTACCCATGGATATTGGGGTTCTATGGGTCCCGTTACCCATGGACATTGGGGTTCTATGGGTCCCAGTACCCATGGACATTGGGGTTCTATGGGTCCCGTTACCCATGGACATTGGGGTTCTATGGGTCCCATTACCCATGGACATTGGGGTTCTATGGGTCCCGGTACCCATGGACATTGGGGTTCTATGGGTCCCGGTACCCATGGACATTGGGGTTCTATGGGTCCCGTTACCCATGGACATTGGGGGTCTATGGGTCCCGTTACCCATGGACATTGGGGTTCTATGGGTCCCGGTACCCATGGATATTGGGGTTCTATGGGTCCCGTTACCCATGGATATTGGGGTTCTATGGGTCCTGGTACTCATGGATATTGGGGTTCTATGGGTCCCGTTACCCATGGACATTGGGGTTCTATGGGTCCCGGTACCCATGGACATTGGGGTTCTATGGGTCCCGTTACCCATGGACATTGGGGTTCTATGGGTCCCGGTACCCATGGACATTGGGGTTCTATGGGTCCCGGTACCCATGGATATTGGGGTTCTATGGGTCCCGGTACCCATGGACATTGGGGTTCTATGGGTGATGATACCCATGGATATTGGAGTTCTATGGGTCCCGTTACCCATGGATATTGGGCTTCTATGGGTCCCGTTACCCATGGATATTGGGGTTCTATGGGTGATGATACCCATGGATATTGGGGTTCTATGGGTCCCGTTACCCATGGACATTGGGGTTCTATGGGTCCCGGTACCCATGGATATTGGGGTTCTATGGGTCCCGGTACCCATGGGCATTGCGGTTCTATGGGTCCCGTTACCCATGGATATTGGGGTTCTATGGGTCCTGTTACCCATGGATATTGGGGTTCTATGGGTCCCGGTACCCATGGACATTGGGGTTCTATGGGTCCCGGTACCCATGGATATTGGGGTTCTATGGGTCCCGTTACCCATGGACATTGGGGTTCTATGGGTGATGATACCCATGGATATTGGGGTTCTATGGGTCCCGTTACCCATGGATATTGGGGTTCTATGGGTCCCGTTACCCATGGACATTGGGGTTCTATAGGTGATGATACCCATGGATATTGGGGTTCTATGGGTCCCGTTACCCATGGACATTGGGGTTCTATGGGTGATGATACCCATGGATATTGGGGTTCTATGGGTCCTGTTACCCATGGACATTGGGGTTCTATGGGTCCCCGTACCCATGGATATTGGGGTTCTATGGGTCCCGGTACCCATGGACATTGGGGTTCTATGGGTCCCGGTACCCATGGATATTGGGGTTCTATGGGTCCCGGTACCCATGGATATTGGGGTTCTATGGGTCCCGTTACCCATGGATATTGGGCTTCTATGGGTCCCGGTACCCATGGATATTTGGGTTCTATGGGTCCCGGTACCCATGGATATTGGGGTTCTATGGGTCCCGTTACCCATGGATATTGGGGTTCTATGGGTCCCGTTACCCATGGACATTGGGGTTCTATGGGTCCCGTTACCCATGGATATTGGGGTTCTATGGGTGATGATACCCATGGATATTGGGGTTCTATGGGTCCTGTTACCCATGGACATTGGGGTTCTATGGGTCCCGGTACCCATGGATTCCCCCTCCATCCCTATGTGCATCTCTTCCCCCTTCCCATTCCAGGGTGATCCCGGCGAATCGGGAGCTCCCGGAATCCAAGGAGAGCCCGGGACCAAGGTGAACACCAATGGGGGACCCGGCCCCACACCCCCCCCTCTTTTCCCTCTATCCATCCCCATTCCCAACCTCACCCCCATCCCATTCCATAGGGCCCACGAGGCGAGCGTGGGGAGAAGGGAGAAGCCGGAGCCGCCGGAGCCGCCGGTCCTCCCGGTGGGAGAGGTCCCGTTGGAGACGATGGAGCCAAAGGGAATCCCGTCAGTGGGGGTTCTATGGGGCAGGAAGCACTTGGGGGGCGGAGCATTGTGGGGAGGGGGGATCCCCATTGGCTCCCATTGATTTCTTCCCATCCCAAGGGGCCCGTTGGCTTCCCAGGAGATCCCGGCCCTCCCGGAGAGATGGGGCCAAGGGTGAGTGAGGGGGAGCTCCGGCCCCATTCCCAACGTTGGGAATGGCGCTGGGATACAAGGGGGGGGGGGGGGGAAGAGGGGGGGGGGCTCATCTGGGTTTGTGCTTCCCCCCCCCCAAAAACAGGGGCAGGACGGTGCCAAAGGGGAGCGGGGTGAGGATGGAGAACCCGGAGAGCCGGTGAGTGGCCAATGCCATCGGAATTCCAGGGGGGAATAGCACATCCCTATCCCTATCCATAGCCCTATCCCTATCCCCATCCCTATATACCATCCCCATCCATATCCCCAGCCCTATATCCCAGCCCCAGCCCCAGCCCTATACCTATATATAGCCCTACCCCCATCCCCATCCCTATATCCCATACCCAACCTGATCCCTATCCCTATCCCCATCCCTATATCCCATCCCCAGCCACAGCCCCATCCCTATCCCTATCCATAGCTCCATCCCTATCCCCATCCACATATCCCAGCCCCATCCCTATCCCTATCCATAGCCCTATCCCCATCCCTATATCCCATCCGCAACCCCATCCCTATCCCCATCCCCATCCTAACCTTAACCCTATCCCTATCCCCAACCCCATCCCTATCCTTATCCATATCCATATCCCTATCCCTATCCCCATCCTTTTATTCCATCCCCATCCCTATCCCATCCCCATCCCCATCCCTATCCCATCCCCATCCCCATCCCTATCCCCATCCCTATCCCCATCCCTATATTCCATCCCCATCCCTATCCCATCCCTATCCATAGCCCTATCCCCATCCCTATATCCCATCCCCATCTCCATCCCTATCCCTATCCCTAACCTTAACCCTATCCCTATCCACATCCCTATCCCCGTCCCTATCCCCATCCCTATATTCCATCCCCATTCCTATCCCATCCCTATCCATAGCCCTATCCCCATCCCTATATCCCATCCCCATCCCCATCTCCATCCCTAGCCCTAACCTTAACCCTATCCCTATCCCCATCCCTATCCCCATCCCTATATCCCTATCCCTATTGCTATCCCTTTCCCCATATCCATCCCCATCCCTATCCCTTTCCCCATATCCATCCCTATCCCTATATCCCATCCCCATCCCCATCCCTATATCCCATCCCCATCCCCATCCCATTCCCTATCCCCATCCATCCCCATCCCCATCCCCATCCCTATCCCTATATCCCGTCCCCATCCCCATCCCTATATCCCATCCCCATCCCCATCCCATTCCCTATCCCCATCCATCCCCATCCCCACCCCTATTCCCTACCCTTAACCCCCTATGAGATCTGGGATGTGGGTCAGAGCATCGCCATGGGATGAGGACTGGGAACACTGGGATGGGAGGACTCCTCCCTCCCACCTGGTCCCCATGGTCCCCCTTGTGCCCCCCAATTCCATAGGGATCCCCAGGCCCGACAGGAGAGAACGGTCCCCCCGGGCCCCTCGGGAAGCGGGTAAGAGCCGCATGATCCCAACGCATCCCATAGGGATCGAGGCCCCATGGATGCCCCCATCCCTTCGTGTCTCCTCTCCATAGGGCCCGGCCGGTTCTCCCGGCCCCGAAGGACGTCAGGGCGAGAAGGGAGCCAAGGTGAGAGCCAATGGGGATGCCGGATGCTGCCCAAACGGCATTCCCGACATTGGGATTGACCGGATCCGGTCTCCATAGGGAGAAGCGGGAGCAAGCGGAGCTCCGGGCAAGACGGGGCCTGTGGGGCCACAAGGACTTGGGGGGAAGCAAGGCCCCGATGGGCTCCGAGGGCTCCCAGGATCTGTGGTGAGTGAGAAGGGGAGCAGGGAGACCGGGATGTGGGGCGGGAATGATGATGGGATGTGGGGTGGGAATGAGCATGGGATATGGGGCAGGCCCCCAATGCTGCCCATGGGATACTGATGCCGTCCCCTCCTCTCTAGGGCGAGCAAGGAAAACCGGGAAGCGCGGGACCGGCCGGACCCCCAGGTCCAATGGTGAGCATGGACCCCTCCCATAAACTTAACCCTAACCCTAACCCTAACCTTAACCCTAACCCTAACCTTGAACCTAACCATAACCCTAACGCTAACCATAACCTTAACGCTAACCATAACCTTAACCTTAACCCTAACCCTAAACCTACCCATAACCTTAACGCTAACCATAACCCTAACACAAACCATAACCTTAATCCTAACCCTAACCCTAAACCTAACCATAACCTTAACGCTAACCATAACCTTAACGCTAACCATAACCTTAATCCTAACCCTAACCCTAAACCTACCCATAACCTTAACGCTAACCATAACCTTAACGCTAACCATAACCTTAACCTTAACCCTAAACCCTAAACCTAACCATAACCTTAACCTTAACACTAAAACTAACCCTAACCCTAAACTTAAACCTAACCCTAACCATAACCCTAACCCTAAACATAAACTTAACGCTAACCCTAAACCTAATGCTCACCATAAACTTAAACTTAATCCTAACCCTAACCTTAATATTAACCTTAACCCTAACCATAAACCTAACCTTAACCTTAACCCTAACCCTAACCATAACCTTAACCTTAACCCGAACCCTAACCCCAACCCTAACCCTAATACTAAACTTAACCCTAACCCTAACCCTAACCCTAAACTTAACCCTAACCCGAACCTTAACCCTAACCCTAACCCTAAACTTAACCCTAACCCTAACCCTAACCTCAACCCTAACCCTAACCCTAACCGTAACCTTAACCTTAACCCTAACCCTAACCTTAAACCTAACCCTAACCTTAACCCTAACCCTAACCTTAACCCTAAACCTAACCTTAACCCTAACCCTAACCCTAACCTTAACCCTAAACCTAACCTTAACCCTAACCCTAACCTTAACCCTAACCCTAAGCTTAACCCTAAACCTAACCCTAACCTTAACCCTAACCCTAACCTTAACCTTAAACCTAACCCTAACCTTAACCCTAACCCTAACCCTAACCTTAACCTTAACCCTAACCCTAACCCTAACCCTAACCCTAACCCTAACCCTAACCTTAACCTTAACCCTAACCCTAACCCTAACCCTAACCCTAACCCCAACCCCAACCCCAACCCTACCCCTAAGTGCTGCTCCCCACATCCCCCATGCCCACCCATGGACCTCTTCTAGGGTCCCCCAGGGCTCCCCGGCCTCCGAGGGGACACCGGAGCCAAAGGAGAGAAGGTGAGCTCCATCCATCCCGTGGGCCCCACATCTATGGGGCTGAACCCCACTGGGGAGGTGCGCTTATGGGGCACCCCATCCCATCACCATTGAGGACTCCTTGTGTCTCCTTAGGGCCACCCTGGTCTCATCGGCTTGATAGGGCCACCTGGAGAACAGGGCGACAAAGGGGACCGGGGCCTCCCTGGGCCCCACGGATCTATGGGGCAGAAAGGAGAAACTGTGAGTACTTGGGGGGCAGGAGAAGGGGGGCCCATGGAGGTGAGCCTGAGGATGGCCACCACCATGGACGGGTTGTCCCCATCTCTTCCTATCTCTTCTATAGGGCATCCCTGGTGCTACCGGACCCATTGGCCCCACTGGTCCCCCTGGCCTCCCTGTGAGTGCTCCCAGCCCCATAGATTCCCTCCCCCCCTTGTCTTCCTCACCCCACCACTGACAGAGCCGCTCTCGCCCCATAGGGCCCATCTGGTCCCAAAGGAGCCAAAGGAGCCATGGTAAGAGCCAAGGGTGCTGGCCCCTTGCACCCAGCCCCACATCCAGCCCTGCCCCACAGAAGCCAATGGGTTCTTCCCTATAGGGCCAAGCAGGACCCAAAGGGGAGCGTGGACCTCCAGGACCCCCCGGCCACCCGGTGAGCGCCCCAAGGGACCATGGGATGGGGTGGATGGACCTGGAAGCCCATTGAGGTCTTGGGATCCAGTTGGGTGCCCCAAAGATCCATGGGATGGGAATAGGGACCTGGTTTCACCCATGGGGTCAGGAATGGGATGACTTGGTTGGACCTGGAAGCCCATTGAGGTCTTGGGATCCAGTTGGGTGCCCCAAAGATCCATGGGATGGGAATAGGGACCTGGTTTCACCCATGGGGTCAGGAATGGGATGACTTGGATGGACCTGGAAGCCCATTGAGGTCTTGGGATCCAGTTGGGTGCCCCAAAGATCCATGGGATGGGAATAGGGACCTGGTTTCACCCATGGGGTCAGGAATGGGAGGGGTTGGATGGACCTGGAAGCCCATTGAGGTCTTGGAATCCAGTTGGATCGTCCCATATAAGGGCTTGGATGGACCATGAAGCCTATTGAGGTCTTGGGATCCAGTTGGGTGCCCCAAAGATCCATGGGATGGGAATAGGGACCTGGTTTCACCCATGGGATCAGGAATGGGATGGCTTGGATGGACCTGGAAGCCCATTGAGGTCTTGGGATCCAGTTGGGTGCCCCAAAGATCCATGGGATGGGAATAGGGACCTGGTTTCACCCATGGGATCAGGAATGGGATGGCTTGGATGGACCTGGAAGCCCATTGAGGTCTTGGGATCCAGTTGGGTGCCCCATCTAACGTCTTGGTTGGACTTGGAAGCCCATTGAGGTCTTGGAATCCAGTTGGATAGTCCCATATAAGGGCTTGGATGGACATGGAAGCCCATTGAGGTCTTGGGATCCAGTTGGGTGCCCCAAAGATCCATGGGATGGGAATAGGGACCTGGTTTCACCCATGGGATCAGGAATGGGATGGCTTGGATGGACCTGGAAGCCCATTGAGGTCTTGGGATCCAGTTGGGTGCCCCATCTAACGTCTTGGTTGGACTTGGAAGCCCATTGAGGTCTTGGGATCCAGTTGGATCGTCCCATATAAGGGCTTGGATGGATATGGAAGCCCATTGAGGTCTTGGGATCCAGTTGGATCGTCCCATATAAGGGCTTGGATGGACCTGGAAGCCCATTGAGGTCTTGGGATCCAGTTGGGTGCCCCAAAGATCCATGGGATGGGAATAGGGACCTGGTTTCACCCATGGGATCAGGAATGGGATGGCTTGGATGGACCTGGAAGCCCATTGAGGTCTTGGGATCCAGTTGGGTGCCCCATCTAACGTCTTGGTTGGACTTGGAAGCCCATTGAGGTCTTGGGATCCAGTTGGATCGTCCCATATAAGGGCTTGGATGGACATGGAAGCCCATTGAGGTCTTGGGATCCAGTTGGATCGTCCCATATAAGGGCTTGGATGGACCTGGAAGCCCATTGAGGTCTTGGGATCCAGTTGGGTGCCCCAATTTCCATGGGACGGGAGCATGGACCTACTCCCACCCCCATGGACCGCGTTGGGTTGGAAGGGACCTTCCAGCCCCCCCCCACCACCAATTCCATGGGTCCATGGAGCCGTCCATGGTGCTGAAGGCCTTATCCTCTATTCCCCCCAAGGGCCCCCCAGGAGAAGTCATCCAACCCCTTCCCATCCAAGCATCCAAGAAGTCCAAGCGCTCCATTGACGCCAGCGAGCTCCTGGAGGAGGGAGAGGAAGAGGAAGAGGAGGAGGAAGAGGAAGGGAAGCAAGGCCGGGGCATGGAGGAGCTCTTGGGATCCCTGCATTCCCTAAAGCAGGAAGTGGAGGCCTTGAGGCGCCCCATGGGGAGCAGGGAGAACCCGGCCCGCACGTGCCAGGACCTACAGCTGAGCCACCCGGGGCTCCCCGACGGTACCCAGGGCACCCAATGGGAGAGGGAGGAAGAGGGTGGGGGGGCACCCAGGGGTGCCGTGGGCCTTCCTCATGGGTGGCGTTGGCCTTCCTCATGGGTGCCATTGACCTTCCTCATGGGTGCCATTGACCTTCCTCATGGGTGGCGTTGGTCTTCCTCATGGGTGCCATTGGCCTTCCTCATGGGTTCCATTGGCCTTCCTCATGGGTGGCGTTGGCCTTCCTCATGGGTGCCATTGGCCTTCCTCATGGGTGCCATTGGCCTTCCTCATGGGTGGCGTTGACCTTCCTCATGGGTGCCATTGACCTTCCTCATGGGTGCCATTGACCTTCCACATGGGTGGCGTTGGCCTTCCTCATGGGTCCCATTGGCCTTCCTTAGGGGTGCCATTGGCCTTCCTCATGGGTGGCGTTGACCTTCCCCATGGGTGCCATTGGCCTTCCTCATGGGTGGCGTTGACCTTCCTCATGGGTGCCATTGGCCTTCCTCATGGGTGGCGTTGACCTTCCTCATGGGTGGCGTTGACCTTCCTCAGGGGTGCCATTGGCCTTCCTCATGGGTGGCGTTGACCTTCCTCAGGGGTGCCATTGGCCTTCCTCATGGGTGCCATTGACCTTCCTCATGGGTGCCATTGACCTTCCCCATGGGTGCCATTGCCCTTCCCCATGGGTCGCGTTGAACTTCCCCATGGGTGCCATTGACCTTCCTCATGGGTGCCATTGACCTTCCACATGGGTGCCATTGACCTTCCTCATGGGTGGCGTTGACCTTCCTCAGGGGTGCCATTGGCCTTCCTCATGGGTGGCGTTGACCTTCCTCATGGGTGCCATTGACCTTCCTCAGGGGTGCCATTGGCCTTCCTCATGGGTGGCGTTGCCCTTCCCCATGGGTGCCATTGACCTTCCTCATGGGTGCCATTGACCTTCCTCATGGGTGCCATTGACCGTCCCCATGGGTGCCATTGACCTTCCTCATGGGTGGCATTGAACTTCCCCATGGGTGCCATTGCCCTTCCCCATGGGTGCCATTGACCTTCCCCATGGGTGCCATTGACCTTCCTCATGGGTGCCATTGACCTTCCCCATGGGCGCCATTGACCTTCCTCATGGGTGCCATTGACCTTCCTCATGGGTGGCGTTGGTCTTCCTCATGGGTGCCATTGGCCTTCCTCATGGGTGCCATTGGCCTTCCTCATGGGTGGCGTTGACCTTCCTCATGGGTGCCATTGCCCTTCCCCATGGGTGCCATTGACCTTCCTCATCGGTCACGTTGAACTTCCCCATGGGTGCCATTGACCTTCCCCATGGGTGCCATTGACCTTCCACATGGGTGCCATTGACCTTCCTCATGGGTGGCGTTGACCTTCCTCAGGGGTGCCATTGGCCTTCCTCATGGGTGGCGTTGACCTTCCTCATGGGTGCCATTGGCCTTCCTCATGGGTGCCATTGGCCTTCCTCATGGGTGGCGTTGACCTTCCTCATGGGTGCCATTGCCCTTCCCCATGGGTGCCATTGACCTTCCTCATCGGTCACGTTGAACTTCCCCATGGGTGCCATTGACCTTCCCCATGGGTGCCATTGCCCTTCCCCATGGGTGCCATTGCCCTTCCTCATGGGTCGCGTTGAACTTCCCCATGGGTGCCATTGACCTTCCTCATGGGTGCCATTGACCTTCCACATGGGTGCCATTGACCTTCCTCATGGGTGCCATTGACCTTCCTCATGGGTGCCATTGACCTTCCACATGGGTGCCATTGCCCTTCCCCATGGGTGCCATTGACCTTGCTCATGGGTGCCATTGACCTTCCACATGGGTGCCATTGCCCTTCCCCATGGGTGCCATTGACCTTCCTCATGGGTGCCATTGACCTTCCACATGGGTGCCATTGACCTTCCCCATGGGTGCCATTGCCCTTCCCCATGGGTGCCATTGCCCTTCCCCATGGGTGCCATTGCCCTTCCTCCTCCTCCCCTCCCTCCAGGCCTCTATTGGGTGGATCCCAACCAAGGATGCTCCCGCGACGCCTTCCGGGCCCGGTGCCGCTTCCGCATGGGAGCCGAGACCTGCGTCTTCCCAAGGCAGGCGGTGAGTTATGGGGCCGGGAGGCAGCCAATGGGGTGGAGGCCCCGCCCCCCTTCCCCCCCCCCCCTCCCCTCCCCCCCAAGGCCTCATCCCAACATCCCCATCCCCACTTCCAGGTGTTGCCCAAGGAAGAGGCGACCCAAGGTCAACGTCAAGGCGACGAAGGCTCGAGGGTGAGGATGGCGCCCCAGTGGGAATGGGGATGGGGGGGTGGGGGGGGATCTTGGGCCCCACATCCTCATCCCATGATCCCATAGCTCTCCTATGTGGATGCGGATGGGCACGGGCTCGGCGTGGTGCAGGTGACCTTCCTAAGGCTCCTCAGCATCGGCGCGCAGCAGAACGTCACCGTGCGGTGTACCGGGAACACCGGGATCAACACCGGGATCAACACCGGGACCAACACCGGGATCAACACCGGGATCAACACCGGGAATGGGATCCGCTTCCTGGCCGCCAATGAGGAGGAGCTGGCGGGTACCGGCCCCTACGTCAAGGTGCTGATGGATGGATGTGGGGTGAGTCAAGGAAAGGGGGAAAGGGGGGGGGGATCCCGGTGATCCTGGTGCTCTTGGAGACCCCGTTGTCCCCCATTGCCCCCATTGCCTTCATTACTCCATTGACCCCATTGCCTTCATTGCACCCATTGTCCCCATTGCCCCCATTACCCCCATTGCCCCCATTGCCTTCATTACCCCATTGCCCCCATTACCCCATTGCCCCCCATTGCTGACCCTTCTCCCCCTCCATAGGTGCAGTCGAGCTCCGGGCGCTCGGTGCTGGAGGTTCTCACCCCACACCCGGAGCATCTCCCACTCCGGGATGTCCTGGGCATGGCACGAGGAGGCCTTGAGGTGGGGCCGGCCTGCTTCCGGGGCTGAGAGCATCCACATGGGACATGGGCATGGACATCAGGGACCGTGGGGCCACCCCATGGCCATGGACCCTCCCCATAGCCATGGACCCACCCCATAACTATGGACCCAACCCAATGACCATGGACCCACCCCATAACTATGGACCCACCCCAATGAACATGGATATTCCCAAAAGACCATGGACCAACCCCAATGACCATGGACCCACCCCATAACTATGGACCCATCCCAATGACCATGGACCCAACCCAATGACCATGGACCCACCCCATAACTATGGACCCAACCCAATGACCATGGACCCACCCCATAACTATGGACCCACCCCAATGAACATGGATATTCCCAAAAGACCATGGACCAACCCCAATGACCATGGACCCACCCCATAACTATGGACCCAACCCAATGACCATGGACCCACCCCATAACTATGGACCCATCCCAATGACCATGGACCCACCTCAATGACCATGGACCCAACCCAATGACCATGGACCCATCCCATGGCCATGGACCTACCCAATGACCATGGACCCACCCCAATGACCATGGACCCACCCCATAACTATGGACCCAACCCAATGACCATGGACCCACCCCATAACTATGGACCCATCCCAATGACCATGGACCCACCTCAATGACCATGGACCCAACCCAATGACCATGGACCCATCCCATGGCCATGGACCTACCCAATGACCATGGACCCACCCCAATGACCATGGACCCACCCCGATGACCATGGATGCTCCCCAAAGACCATGGACCAACCCCAATGACCATGTACCCACCCCAATGACCATGGACCCCCCCCATGACCATGGACACACCCCAATGACCATGGACACTCCCCAAAGACCATGGACCAACCCCAATGACCATGGACCAACCTCAATGTCCTCCAATGACCATGGACCTTGATGTCCTCCAATGATGTCCACCACCTCCAATGGGTTCCATTGACCATGGACCCACCCAATGACCATGGACCTCAATGTCCTCCAACGACCATGAACCCCGATGTCCTCCAATGACCATGAACCTCGATGTCCTCCAATGACCATGGACCTCGATGTCCTCCAATGACCATGGACCTCGATGTCCTCCAATGACCATGGACCTCGATGTCCTCCAACGACCATGGACCTCGATGTCCTCCAATGACCATGGACCTCGATGTCCTCCAATGACCATGGACCTCGATGTCCTCCAATGACCATGGACCTCAATGTCCTCCAATGACCATGGACCTCGATGTCCTCCAACGACTGTGGACCTTGATGTCCTCCAATGACTGTGGACTTTGATGTCCTCCAATGACCATGGACCTCGACGTCCTCCAATGACCATGGACCTCGATGTCCTCCAATGACCATGGACCTCAATGTCCTCCAATGACCATGGACTTGATGTCCTCCAATGACCGTGGACTTCAATGTCCTCCAATGACCATGGACCTTGATGTCCTCCAACGACCATGAACCTCGATGTCCTCCAATGACCATGGACCTCGACATCCTCCAATGACCATGGACCTCGATGTCCTCCAATGACCATGAACCCCGATGTCCTCCAATGACCATGAACCTCGATGTCCTCCAATGACCATGGACCTCGATGTCCTCCAATGACCATGGACCTCGATGTCCTCCAATGACCATGGACCTCGACATCCTCCAATGACGAGGGACCTCGATGTCCTCCAATGACCATGAACCCTGATGTCCTCCAATGACGATGGACCTCAATGTCCTCCAATGACCATAGACTTGATGTCCTCCAATGACCGTGGACCTCGATGTCCTCCAATGACCATAGACTTGATGTCCTCCAATGACCGTGGACCTCGATGTCCTCCAATGACCATAGACTTGATGTCCTCCAATGACCATGGACCTCGATGTCCTCCAATGACCATGGACCTCGATGTCCTCCAATGACCATGGACCTCGATGTCCTCCAATGACCATGGACCTCGATGTCCTCCAATGACCATGGACCTCAATGTCCTCCAATGACCATGGACCTCGATGTCCTCCAACGACTGTGGACCTTGATGTCCTCCAATGACTGTGGACTTTGATGTCCTCCAATGACCATGGACCTCGACGTCCTCCAATGACCATGGACCTCGATGTCCTCCAACGACTGTGGACCTTGATGTCCTCCAATGACTGTGGACTTTGATGTCCTCCAATGACCATGGACCTCGACGTCCTCCAATGACCATGGACCTCGATGTCCTCCAATGACCATGGACCTCAATGTCCTCCAATGACCATGGACTTGATGTCCTCCAATGACCGTGGACTTCAATGTCCTCCAATGACCATGGACCTTGATGTCCTCCAACGACCATGGACCTCGATGTCCTCCAATGACCATGGACCTCGATGTCCTCCAATAACCATGAACCTTGATGTCCTCCAATAACCATGAACCTTGATGTCCTCCAATGACCATGGACCTCGATGTCCTCCAATGACCATGAACCTCGATGTCCTCCAATGGGTTCCATTGCCCATGGACCCACCCCATTGGCCATGGACCCACCTCAGGCCATGTCCTCCAATGGGCGCCCCCCACGGATGGAGGCAGCGCGAAGGACCTTGCGTGTCTCCGGCGCGTTCCTTGCTCTCTTAACTTAAGGACCTTATTTAAAGCCATGGATGCAACCACCCCACTGCTCCTTGGGGTCTCCTCTTGTGTCGTGTGTCCCCCCCCAATGCCAGGAGATGGGAATGTCCCCCCATGGAGATGGGGGGGTCCATGGGGTTGGGATGGGATGGATTGAACGGGGCTTCCAGGTCAACCCCACATCAGGAGCCTATGGGGAAGGCAGGTCCCTGATGCGACCCCATGGAAGACCAACACCGATATAGGGGGCACCACGATGGGAGATCCCTTGGGATGACTGGGACCAGTTTAGGGTGGATACTGGGACCAGTTCAGGGCTATATTGCTATTGCTGGTCATTATCTATGGTTCCATGGTGGGGTATGGGGTATGGGGTATGGGATATGGGGTATGGGGTATGGGATATGGGGTATGGGGTATGGGGTATGGGGTATGGGATATGGGGTATGGGGTATGGGATATGGGGTGTGGGGTATGGGGTATGGGGTATGGGGTATGGGATATGGGGTATGGGATATGGGGTATGGGGTGTGGGGTATGGGGTATGGGGTATGGGATATGGGGTATGGGGTATGGGGTATGGGGTGTGGGGTATGGGGTATGGGGTATGGGGTATGGGGTATGGGGTATGGGATATGGGGTATGGGGTATGGGATATGGGGTATGGGATATGGGATATGGGGTATGGGATATGGGGTATGGGGTATGGGGTATGGGATATGGGATATGGGGTATGGGATATGGGGTATGGGTTATGGGATATGGGGTATGGGATATGGGGTATGGGGTATGGGGTATGGGGTATGGGGTATGGGATATGGGATATGGGGTATGGGGTATGGGGTATGGGGTATGGGGTATGGGATATGGGATATGGGGTATGGGGTATGGGGTATGGGATATGGGGTATGGGATATGGGGTGTGGGGTATGGGATATAGGGTATGGGGTATGGGGTATGGGATATGGGGTATCGGGTATGGGATATGGGGTATGGGGTATGGGATATGGGGTATGGGGTGTGGAGTATGGGATATGGGGTATGGGACATGGGACTCGCAGTGACACCCAATGACACCCAAAGACACGCAAAGGCACCCAATGACACCCAATGACACCCAATGACACTCAATGTCACCCAACGACACTCAATGGCACCCAATGACACCCAATGACACCCAATGACACCCAACGACACTCAATGACACCCAATGACACTCAATGGCACCCGACACCCAATGACACTCAAAGACACCCAATGGCACCCAATGACACCCAATGACACACAATGACACACAATGACACTCAATGACACACAATGACACCCAATGACACCCAATGACACTCAATGACACCCAATGGCACCCAATGACACTCAATGGCACTCAATGACACTCAATGACACCCAATGGCACCCAATGACACCCAACAACACTCAATGACACCCAATGACACTCAATGGCACCCGACACCCAATGACACTCAAAGACACCCAATGACACCCAATGACACTCAATGACACGCAATGACACCCAATGACACCCAATGATACCCAATGACACCCAATGACACGCAGTGACACCCAATGACACCCAATGACACCCAATGACACGCAACGACACGCAACGACACCCAATGACACCCAACGACACTCAATGACACCCAATGACACCCAACGACATGCAACGACACCCAATGACACCCAACGACACTCAATGACACCCAATGACACGCAACGACACTCAATGACACCCAATGACACCCAACGACACCCAATGACACCCAATGACACTCAATGGCACCCGACACCCAATGACACTCAAAGACACCCAATGGCACCCAATGACACCCAATGACACCCAATGACACCCAACGACACCCAATGACACCCAACGACACTCAACGACAATGACACGCAATGACACCCATCGGTATCGCGTTAGCGGCTCGTTAGCATGTAACTAGCATCTCATTAGCATGTCGTTAGCATGTCGTTAGCGCGTCACGGGATGAAGCCCAGGTCCTCGTCACGGAGCTCATCCCGGAGCCAGGGCAGGGCCTCGAAGACGTTGACGTGGAAATCGCGGGCGTAGGAAGGGGGCCGGGGATGGCGGCAGGAATCCAGCACCCCCCAACTGATCACCCCCACCTGCAGGGGGCGCGGGGGGGGGGTCAATGGGGGGCCCTAGGGGGCGCTATGGGGCACTGGGGGGGTCAATGGAGGCCTATGGGGCACGGGGGGGCAATGGGGGCCTATGGGGCACAGGGGGGGCAATGGGGGCCTATGGGGCTCTATGGGGCACAGCAGGACAATGGGGGCCCTATGTGGCACAGGGGGTCAAGGGGGCCTTATGGGGCACA